TCATCCTCATCGGAGCTTTCTTCTTGCTCATTATTGGGGTTTTTGTTGAGATTGCGCATCAATTTGCTCCGTGTTCGATTTTTGTTGTTATCAACTCGCCCGGAACTAGCTTGGACCAGCCTCATGATCAAAGCTGACACAGGCTGGATGTTTTTCCCATCAGATAGCTTGAACTGTCGAGCACTTTGCTTACCGACAGGGAGCTTCTCCAAGGATGTGAGAATTTCGTCGATGATGCCTTGGCGTTGCTCAGGTTTGATCAAGAAAATCTGTGAGAGCATGTCCATTGCCACGGACCGAAGCCCGTCAAACTTTTGAACTCCCACGACAGAGTCCTTCTCAAAGTATGCATTCTCCATGAAAATGAGTCGGGAGGCGGTGTATTCCATTGAGTTGATCACTGACTCTGAGAGCTCGATCTTGGTAACAAGCTCTGCTAACAAGGCGAATAACTTCTGGCAAGAGAGGAAGACAACTGTGATAGACTTCTTATTCTTCGAAAGCAGCTTGAAAACAACCGATGCAGGTCCGGATGGCCGAAGTTCCACAAGAGGCATGACAATGTCCTCGGTGACCTTTCTGAAGATATCGGCGCATCTCTGGATAACAGATTCTGAATATAACTGCTTGTCTTCTCGTCCGCCCGAGAGAATGCGCAGGCATGTGCGAGCTGACTTCAGCATTGTCTCCACGTCTGAAAGCTGTTGTATCCATACATCAACGGCATCTTCGCCCCAAGTCTCATCGACTCGGATCTCCAGATTCTCAACTTGCTTTAAGCTGGCATCACTCAGTCTGATGATTTGAGTCAGATGCTCTACTGGGACACGGTCGAAACATCTTAGAGCAATTGTCTTCTGAATGGCGCCATGCATCTTCTGTTGCGAAGAGGCGGTCATAGCAACCTCTTGGTCTGGTGTCAGAGAAACGATTTCGTCTTGTCCGGATCCTTCTCCGAGCATTCGCCCGACCGAGTTGAACACAACGCGTACAAGTTTGTCGAGCGCATGGAGGGCTGCCTCGCTACGTTGACGCTGATCAAGGCTCTCCCCAATCAGATCTGGACTATGAGAATAGGCTTGTTGGCTCTCTTTTCGAACCGATAGGTGATGGGGGTCCTCCGGGCGAGCTTCGACCTCGATGTACTCTTCTCGACAGATATTCGCAGCTGGTAGCTCAATTCGAAACGCCCCATTCTGATCAGCTTCGGTGGTAGCTTGGATAGGGAGCTGAGCTGCTGGGGCCGGAGGCTGCGCCATCGGCTGTATTTGCGGTTGCTCATGTTGGACTGGAACAACTGGAAAGTCTTGCTGAGGCGCATCGCTCACGTCAACATAAGTTGAAGGATCAAATTGTCTCTTGGACGGTATCGCAACTTCGATCCTAACGGCGTTTGACTTGTGTGCTTTGGAGTTATGCGCTGGCAAGTTGGACGGTTGTGGCGGATTCGGGGAGTTTATTGAAGATGACCGTTGCTTGGGGGTCGGGTGGCCTGGTGCTTGGCCGTTGACCTGCTTGGCATCAGAAGCCACGGGTTTCGTCGTCTTGAAATAGCCTCCCACTTTATCGAAGACATTTCTCGTGAGCGGCGACAAACCATCAATCAGGCTCTTGTCGGTAGGGGAGGTCAATTTCATTCCTGAAATTGTGGTAAACTTGCTACTCGACAGTCAGATTGTGGTTCATAGTATGCACGGCATAGTTAAAATACTAATGTGTTCGTTGACTTGGTTTGATTTCTTGGAGGACATGGTCAACCGCTTGCTTTACGTTGCGCGGCATCTGATTATGGCCCGCTGCTTCCTTATTTAGGTTGTCGAAATCGTGTGTTTGAAATAGGTCAGTCAGAGGGAGCGCAGGGGAGCCTGAGCCTAGAACGGGGTCGGGGATGATGTCTGACGAGAGTTAGGTGAAGATATATCGAGAAGCGGTGATAACTGACCAGAAATGAGAGGAATGGTCGAGGTCTGTGGTGAATAAGGAAGCGCCTCTTGAAGTGTGAACGGACGAGCAATAATACCCTCCTCAGCCCCCGTTTGAGCAAACTGCCCATTTGGGTCCGCCCCATGCTGCTGCGTGTTGTTCATTGTCGCAGGAGAGAAGGCGGCTCATCGCATATCTTGGTTCGAAAGGAAGGAGCAAACGGATACCAGCGCATCGGATCTTGACAGGACAGGGTCAGGTATGGATCAAAAGACACGCTCCAAGCGCGTATGCAAAGGAAATATGTTCTCAGGAAGCATATAGTCGGAGTCGCGGTAAGGTGATTGGGTTGAAAAAGCAACGGAATTAAATGCAGCTAAGCATTGTTACCCGCTTTGCGTGAATGTAAACGACGAGGTCAAAGCCTGGGGAAACCAACATGATCAGCCTCGCGAGCTTTGAACTTTCCTTGGATGTTTTCGAGACAGCTACTGGTCTGTGCGCTCAATGCACCACCACTCAGAGGCTATTCCGTCACGACCCACTCTTGCCTCGTCAGATTTTCCGGAAGCCCCTTGCAACCTTCCATTTGAGCCTATGATGGCTGGGCCAATTTTTTGTCACTGAATTTGTTCAGCTTGCGCAAGTAGTCGACCAAATTCTCCAATTGTGCAGAACTTACTCACGACTCACAATGGCTGCGATCGGAACTCTCGTCTTTTGTACCGACTGCGGTAATCTGTTGCCTGCAACAAAAGGGACTCAGCGAAATGTTTTGCATTGCGAATGCTGTGGTGCAGAGAATCGAGGTTTGTACGCTTGGTGTGATATTTGGCAAGATCTCTAACAGGTTGTGCAGATACCGGTTCCAAAGTTACCGTTACACAAACAAAACCCTCCGATTTCCCTTCTTTCTTGAGGCAGAAGCTCCAGTCAAGCGTCCAGGCTGTTGAGAAACACAATTTGCAAACCGATAGCACTGTTCATGAAACATGCCCCAAGTGCGGTCGTGAAGAGGTCAAGTATACCAACGTTCAATTGCGCGGTGCAGATGAAGGATCAACGGTCATCTACCTTTGCGATTGCGGCAACTCGTGAGAATCCCGAATCCATCTATTTTAACTAATCTAACACTTGACTTTTAGGTGGCATGAAAACAACTAGACGTAATACTCGACAACGCGAGCGTACTCATAAATCATACAGAAACTCCTGTGGTCTAGGGAATCAAAGCATACTCAGCCTCTCCACCCTTCTCATACTCAGCGATATCCAGCGCAACAATGCAACTCTCTCGAACAACCTTTTCCTTGTCGTGAAGGAACTTTCTTAGGGTAGCTTCGACACCTTCCTCCTCGCCCAGGCTGCCAAGTGCCTCGGCCGCTTCATGTCGAACCATGCTAGCCTCGTTGGTGTTGCTCAACGCCTCAGTCAGGGCTGGGATTGAAGCGGGGTGTGAAAGCTGTCCAAACACAAAGGCGATCTCGTGTCGGAAGAGTGCGGACGAGTCGGACAATCCTTTAGCAAGAGCGAGAACGGCGGGGACAGCAGTGGGCAGGTCGGGAGGTGATGCCAGATCTCGGAGAGCAAACATGGCGCGGTAACGGAGGAATAGAGGCAGATTTGTATCCATGAGCTTGTGGCCAAGCTCCTCGACTTCAGCCTTCTGTTCGGATTCGGGCATTGGGGGCGCAGGATCGATAGAGGCAAAATCACTAGACGACAAATGTTAATCAGGGGCAACCCCAATATATCTTTCCACAAACCTAGGGCGCAACTTTTCCTTTCGTCGCTCTTCCGAGTTCTCCCACTCAATGCGCTCGATGGCGATCTCGCATGTCTCGATAATGCTTATGTCCTCCTCTTTGCGATCTCGGTACTCGCGGAGGATGTCCAGGTTGTCGGCCCAGCCTAAGGCTCCAAGGGCTTCGGCAGCTTCGTGGCGGCACATTGGGTCCTCCTTCAAATCAGCCAGAACCTGTCGGAGAGGCTTGACAGCAGCGGGGTTGCCTGTCTGGCCGAGACAGTATGCGAGCTCATGCTTGAGCAAGGCCGAAGGTGAGGTGAATCCGGCAGCGATGGCTTCGATGGCCGCAATCCTTGTAGCATTGTCATCCGAGGTGGTCGCAACGTGCTTCAGTGAGAAAAGAGCACGAAAACGGATGGGAAGAGGGGTATCCTCAGAACAGAGGGATTTCCTCAAGCTCAGAACCGTGGAATCGGCGGAGTTGGAGGTCTCTGGGGTATCAGCAGAAGGAGACATTTTGGAATATCGGTTGGAAACAGATCTTGATGTATCGTAGGATGCTTCTAGATCAGCTCAGAATAAAATCTTCGCGGGGTCCTGAGCTTATCTTATCTCAGACGAATGTGAAATAACCCCGCCACTGATCGGCTTTTTTTTAGGTGTGCCTGTCATGAGTTTTGGGCAGATCGCCGCCTTTAGCCGGTCCGATAACCGGCGCGCTCTCAGCGTGTTGGGTGTAAAAGGGCAGGAAACATTTGAAAGCTTATTGTATTGCTGATGCGACGGTTTTCGGATTGGCCTGCGATCACTAAGGCTTTCATACCAACCTCACTATCAGTGATAGTATTGAACGTTAGTACAGTTTCGTATCATTGAGCCACATCACTGGGAATGATTAGAAATATTGTGTTTTGAGGTTGTTGGTACATAGTACGAAAATGTTAATACTTACTACCAGTAAGTCTTTGGATAAGCATCTGTTGAAAAGGCCCTTCTTTCCGCTATATAAGACATTTTGAGGAGCCTATGGTCCGAACTTATCGAGTTCCCTTTTCAAATTTCCCAGACACTTAACTCGCCCTCATCAACCAAACAAATATGTCTCACTATGTAAAAAATATCATAAGATTGTGGAGATCTAGGAGACTCGTGTAGTGATCATACCTACCGCAACTTTCTTTGCAGAGCTAATGTTAATATATCAATATATCTATGGATCTTTATCCCTTCAATGTGTCTTGACTCATTGGCATTTGTGATTCCGCGGCGATACTTCACATCGCCGCACGCTTGCTAAGCAACCAATCAACATAGACGCTTAGCACTTACCCTAGGAACAACCACATCGATTATCTTAACCGCGTCAACATTCTTTGGACTCTCTCAGAAATTAATCCAGAAAGATACCAGATCCCAATCGGGAAGAATTTACCCTCACTTCTTTTTCTTTCTTGCTACTCTGTTCCTCGCTATTCAAGACAACCCTAAAATTGCAGGTTTGGTACATTATTAAGCTTCGAGCTCACGTTGCCACCTCCGACTCACTTTCCCTCGCTTCACGTCACTTCACAAAAAGACAATGGCACCCTCTCTTGAGGCCTCGGAGGCTGTAGACGATGTCCTCGCCAATCCGATCAAGCAGAAGCCACAACTAGTTGCCCCAGAGCCTCAGAACTGTGTTGGCCCCGATTCAGAGCAAGCTGGTAAAGCGGACGCATGCGCCGGGTGTCCAAACCAGGCCATCTGCGCATCAGCGCCCAAAGGACCAGATCCTGATATCCCTATCATCTCGGCGCGCCTGGAGAATGTCAAGCACAAAATCCTAGTACTAAGCGGAAAGGGCGGCGTCGGAAAGAGTACATTTACATCCCTGTTGGCACACGCCTTCGCGACAAATCCAGACAGCACCGTGGGTATCATGGACACTGATATCTGTGGACCCAGTATTCCCAAGATGATGGGCGTGGAGGGCGAGACTGTGCATGTCAGCGGTACAGGTTGGTCACCTATCTGGGTCATGGACAACCTCTCTGTCATGAGTATTCAGTTTCTACTGCCCAACCGGGATGACGCTGTCATTTGGCGGGGTCCCAAGAAGAACGGTCTGATCAAGCAATTTCTCAAGGATGTGGAATGGGGTGACCTTGACTTTTTACTTGTCGACACACCACCAGGCACAAGCGATGAGCATCTCAGTGTAAACTCATTCCTGAAGGAGAGTGGGATCGATGGCGCTGTCATGGTCACCACACCGCAGGAGGTCTCACTCCTGGATGTAAGAAAAGAGATCGACTTCTGCCGCAAAGCCGGCATCAGGGTGTTAGGTCTTGCAGAGAACATGAGCGGCTTCGTTTGCCCCAAGTGTTCAACCGAAAGTCAGATCTTTAAGGCAAGCACAGGAGGAGGACGTGCACTGGCTGAAGAGATGGGCATTCCCTTCTTGGGATCAGTGCCCTTGGACCCTAGGATCAGGATGGCATGTGATTACGGAGAGAGTTACTTCGACTCATTCCCAGATAGCCCCGCCTGCATCGCGTTTCAAGGAGTTGTCAAGAATGTTGCGATGCAGTTGGGATTAAACACCCAGGATGTGCTGCCGGATGAGTAGGCAGTTATCTCGAAGTTACGTTTTTATGTAGATCATGATATATGGATTTCGCTGCCACGACACGTTGCCTTTCTTTTGTGTGATTCTTGATTACTCTGACTTGAGCTTGTCGGGGATTTCTTCCAAATCTTCCGCTGACTCGATATCAATAATTCGTCCGACCTCGGCCGTGTTGCGCATCAGCTCCTTGGCGCCGGCGTAGAGCATCCTGATCTCGGCGTTGCAGGTAACGGGGAGGTAGAAGATAAGTACGTATGGCACAGACAAGCGCCCATCGCCCTATGCTCATATTAACATCATGTCAAGTGTCAAGCATTCCTGACAGTTGTTCGATCAGACATACCATGGTGAGAGGGTAGCTCAGGAGGATGAATCGAGGCGCATGATCGGGGAGGTCATCGCCAATTTCTTCGAGGGAAGTATAAACGGTCTTGTCTTCGTCTTGTCGGATTTCGTAAGTGTTCTTATCGATCAGGTCTACAGGAGGGACGGTTAGCAAGAGAAAGGAGACCTATGACTTTCAAGTCTTATCACAAAGAGACGTACATACAAATAACAGCTTGGGGATCCTTAGCCCGAGAAGTAGTAAGTCTAAACTTGCGGAGGTGGTCCTTTGACTCTCCAGAGAAGGTATACAGTCGCGATTCCGACGCCTAAAAGCAGGATGTCAGCGGGCGAACCGGGGATGGGGAGGAGGTCGTGTGAGTGGATGTACCATTGTGAAGCTTTGTTTGACTTTGCTAATAGGTAAAGCCCCCTTTGTAGCTGTTTTAAAGCTGTGTCTGATACCTCAACTCTGTTTAGCAGTTATCAGACGAGTGAAGTTGGTGTAGCCCAATGCCCCGCCAAAGGGTAGGTAGCTGTTGACTTGACCCCACATTGTCCCGCCATTGTCTAGCGTAGCGAGTTAACGTCATCTACAGGCTTTTGAAATCGAGACAGCATTGGATCAATAAAGGGAGAACTTGCATATTTACCCTGCTATCTGCCTATCACCTGATCCTCAAGCTCTCTTATTACATCTGCCCTTGGCCATCCATGTTCTCACGCATCTCCCAGGTAACCCGGCATCTTTCAGCTCCCGTTGTTGGCAACACCAGACGATTCGCCCTAGGAAGAATCATGGCTCCTATATCGGCAGATGAGCGCAACTCGCGCACCATTTCTACAGCCGCCTGTTTGATCATCGGTGACGAAGTTCTGGGCGGAAAGGTATAGTTCTTTGAACACATCTTACTGTCTGTGTAACCGAATGGGGGTAACTGACACCATCAACGTAGACAGTTGATGTGAGTAATTGAAGTATGGGCTAGATATTGTATTAATCGAGATAGACCAACTCTGCCTATTTCGCCAAATGGTGCTTTAACCTCGGAATTGTAGGTCTGACCACGGGTAGCTATGCATGCGCGGATGCTGAATAGATATAGAACCTTAAGCGCATCGAGGTGATTGAGGACGATGAAGGCGAAATTGTTGAGGCTGTTCAGAGAATGAGTGACCGTTATGACTTTGTTGTTACTAGGTAAGTCCTTCGGCAACACTACGTGGAGATTGAATAGCTAATATGAATCAGTGGTGGGATCGGGCCTACGTGAGGATTCACTACCGTCATTTCTACACATACTAATATCTTAGACACGACGACATTACCTACCAATCGATCGCCAAGGCCTTTAACCTGCCTCTCAAACTACACCAAGAAACTTTTGACAAGATGAAACTGATGTCAAAGGTTCATCCCAATCAACCCAAGTTTGATTGGGATGCCGACTCGCCAGCAAGAAGGGCAAAACTTCGCATGGCTGAGTTGCCAATTGATGAATCTCGGGACCTTAAGAAGCAAGCTCTCTTCCCTCATGATGATCTTTGGGTTCCCGTATCAGTCGTGAACGGAAACATCCATATCTTGCCGGGTATCCCTAGACTTTGTATGTCAATTCCCGAGCGCCGCTTACTATCTGCTGACCGGGAACAGTTCAGAGACTTCTTGAGGGGCTGAAACCTCACATTCTCCCACGTCTCAGCGACCCTGAGGGAAAGGGTACGCATAGAGTGCTGTTCTCTACGCCTCTTCCCGAGAGTGGTGTTGCCGATTATCTCACAACCTTGGCTGCCAAAGTTGGGCCCAAGGGTGTCAAGGTCGGAAGTTATCCTCGCTGGGGCAAGAAAAACAACACGGTCACACTTGTTGGACGGTTAGCAGGGAACATTACCAAATGCTGAAGTGATAAATATGCTGACACAGATATAGGGATTTGGACTATCTTGAGAGTCTCGTTGATGAAGTCCAAGCTGGCATCCAGGGTCTGCGAGTTGATGCTGAGAGTGACGGAGAAGAAGACCCGAAGCAGATTAAGAAGCAGGCGACCGAAGACGCGGACAAGGACACCGCGGAGCAAGTTGTTGAGAAGCCTTGATATACCTTGATAGCTGGGATCCTTGGATATTTGGAAGTCCACAACGTATGGTGGCGGGTTGTAGTTGCGCTGATCACAGTAACATCCGTTGGAACTCTGTAAAGAGTTGCCATTGGCTAGATTGCATGTTTCGTGAATATCCTTGAATATATGTAGACAAGTGTTATAGAATGTTCGGAGTTGCAATCTGATACCGGCGCACGGACTTGAAACTTTCGGTGATTCAACGGTCGAAACCTGATCGTCTCGTCGATCATGGCGCTCTTTATTCAGACGAGCTGCACAGGTTGCATTTTTGACCAGCAGGTATCTCAGAGCGATCTAACGTATATGAATTCTGGTACCTGTGCATCGATTTTGCTGCACAATTACCTGTATAGGTACTTGACAAATTTTGAATCGCCTGTGGATTCAGCACTTGCGGCCAACACATGTCGTGCATCCTGGTACAAAGCAAAGGTGTTGAATCTTTGTTGTATCATACTGACTTTAGGGTTGGCAACCGAGATAAGACAATGGAGCAGAGTTGAGTCTCATCTCCGACGCCCTGAGGGGCCGTAACGTAGTATCGGCGTTGAACAACTTGACTTGCCAAAGTCATGTTATCATACGATTTTAAGTAACAAGAGGGGTCAGTGGTTTGTTGTGTTGCAGATCAACGCGTGAACATCGACATCGATGAGACGCATCCGCGTGGAAGGCTAGAGAGGGACTCGTGCTTATGTGATGGATGGCACGCTGTATTCGGAAGCTGACTCGAGGCTCTTTCCTATAAGGAACCTGGGGTGTGATGAAGACCAGGGGTATGAACAACGAGGATGGTGGAGGTGGAGTCGATAAATTGTCTTAGGCACATCGTAGCGGCGATAGCAAGGCTCGTGACATGATCGGCGCCGAGATCAGAGGTTAGACCTTGAACAAACCCACGACACCTGAGGGGGAGATTAAAAGATGTCGTGATGTGCGCTTGGCATAGAACTAAGCCAGAGTGTAATCTGCCGAAAAGGGGCTGTTGCTAGGACGAGTCCTGGAGACACATTGAAGTGGATCACAACCTGGAACTGGTGGAGACGGGCGCAAACACAAATGCAAAAGACGTCATTTCGTTCTAGAAGCTGACTATAGAAGTTGTTGGAGATCATTCACATTCAACTTGATTGCATTTATATTGCGTGTGGTTGCATTCGGCCGAAAGGGTGAAGAAGCGGAAAATCAAATGACACAAGCGAAGATACTTTGAATTAATGATTGACAGCATGCCAGTAGAATTGATCACGAAGAGTTGAGGGTAGATAGACTTGTGCCGTTGTTTTATGAGTTTTTGAAGATGTTGATAAACTTCCTTGTAACCTCAAGCTCTCCTTAAACTACAGGATCACGTGCCTGCTGCAGCTCTGACAGAAGCCCCACATGCTTACCCCACATAGAAGTCCCATTGAGCCGCAATATCACAGCTACTTCTTTCTATCGTCAAGCATCCTCCTCTTCAACGTCGCGCTTCCATGCTACAAAGGGATATTTTGCCCCCTGCAAAGTCTCGCAAGCTTTTCTGCTCGTAGAAAAGACTGAAATTCATGTGAGAAATTCGGAGCATCTTTCCAAACGCTGCCAGTCTTTTGAGAATGGTAGCATACAGCAGTCGCTCGCTTTACGAAGAGAGTAAACGTGTCTACCCCTGAGGGTTCAGCGCCAATCGGTGCTCGCAATATAGGTAGGTATCAGAAATGACAGGGTCTGGCGAGTTGGTTCGCCCTTCCTATTAGATTCCTATGGGAAGCCGTTACGGGGATTGTGGGAGACTACGGTTGAATACTGGAGTGCGATGTGCGACGTGGTTACGGCCATAGCTCAATTCCGATCATTCTCTGGAGGACGATGCTTCACCTTTCTTTCTCAGGTACGCTGTTGCTACTCCTGGTTCTTCTAGGGCGAAGAATACTACTTACAATGACATATTGTGGCCCTAGGGAAGAGCCGTAGCGGACCCTACAGGCATAGTCGGAATCGGTTGCCAGGCATGCCCGCTGTTAAAACTCGCGAACCATAGTCAGTTAACCGACGCGTGGGCTTCAGACTGACACTGAACAGTTCGTCAAAGTTTCGGCAAAGGGCTCGTTTGAGAGCTTTGTTCGTCTAACCATTATCCTAACCCGTTTGCTTGACCGAAGCCCTATCCTAACATGCGAGCTTGGCCTTCAGCTCCTGGCTCATTAAGTAGGTTGCTGGCAGAGCATAGTTTTCTTTCTATCATGTGTTATTAGTCGAGTCTGTGATTGGTTTTGTAGATTCATCACGTTTTATGAACGGATTATTGAAACTTCTAACTGAGGTCGGGAACCAACCCCCACCCAGACTCAAGTGACCAGACACCGACATACAGAATTTCCTTAGCAATTGCTCCAGGCCTCATGCCTAATGCTTTGTCTTGATCTGTTCCCGTCACATCTTACTCGACGTAAACCCCAGTCATCACAGGCTGTATTAGTGAAAATTTCTTAGCCCGGGATGATCTTCGGAGTGATAAGAGCGCTCGGCTTGATAAACTCGGCTGAAGCTATCGCTGCATCAAATCTAGTTCCTCACATCACTTAACAGAACCCTTATGTAATGTCTTGAGAGGGGCAGTTATCTAGGATCTATATCATAGTGATCAGATTGGGTTATCGACCTAGCCACGCCACGCATCGATCAACCCCCACCCGGCATTGATCCTGTTGACACACCGTCACATCTTCAACAGCCTCAAACGCGCCAACGCTAGTAGTGCAGCGTGCTGGAAGGGTGTTGTGGTTCATCTGGCGAAAGCGGCTGGTCGCTACAACGTCGAGTGGTTATACATTGGAGGATGAAAAGAACAAAAACTATGAGCGTAGTGAAACGTTTGTCCTGCAGGCACTAAGACATTTCCACGATTTAGGTGCAGGCTAGGGAGTAAAGCTGTGAATAGGGTCAGCTCATGGTTTGATTGCTGAATTCAGACTAAACGTTACAGGAGTCAATGTCTTTGGTTTTTTTAATCGTTCAATAATACCGGCGCATCTTCAACCTGAGACCAACGATATATGAGTTATCATGATAGTGTACGTACTGCGTATAGTGTGAGTTCCACCAGACAAAACATCGTACATCGTCATCACAGCAGATTTTAGCGAAAGACAATGAAGTCGAGCACCACTCCTACCGCCCTGCACATTAGATACCATGACCCTGGGCTTGGACTCTGAACTAACCGACTTGAGATCAAGAGCATCGGAGCTTGTTAACTTGTCACCCCATTCATTCCCCAGGTCCAGGGGCTCACCGATGGGACGGGGGACCTGGAAAGTGAGTAAGGGGTGAGGAACGTTGATCTGCATTAGATCGAGACACGAGAGAATGACTATCAGACTATGTAGTATGGATAATGGACTCACGCCAATGTCATCATTGGTGCGTTGATGTGAAAAAGGGTTGCTTCCTTCTGTAAAGAAACTTGTTGCTGGTTGAATCATGACAAGGCACGGCTTATTCTTTGAAGGTGCTAGCGCTTGGGCATGGGATTGGACGTAATTGGTGTGACAGCGACCGTGTAGACGGCCAATTCGAGTGATGACTTGATATCTGGGCGCGAAATGGTGAAAGTGGTTACTCAGTCTCAAACATCTACACCCGTGCAATAAGAATGCAGACTCTGTTACAAGAGGGACCTGCAAAGGCTTGTATGACCAAATGAAAGATGCTGGTGACGAACAGGACTAGCCATTCAGTCAATGTGTGAGAACGGCGCCCTGGCCGTATTGAATGAAGTATGAGGCCTATCCTGAAAGGATATGTTTCATATCGCGATGCGTATGGCTCAAACGAAAGTTTCTCCAAATAAAGAAAGCCACAGGATCACCTCGTGTACTCCTGAACTTGATGAACATAGGCACATTAGATGTATACACTATAAAAGACAAGAACCCACAAACAACAGCCATCAATAACAAGTAGTAGAGTTGAAATGAGCAATTAGAATCGAAAAGGACCATGCAGGATCATGCGACATGTTTAATGCTACGGAAATAACATCTTTATCCAGTATATTCCAAGGATGGTTGTTATTCTGAAGCCGGGCTCTATTATTCGACTAGATTGTAAATCGATATAAGTATGTTTCGTCTGATATGGCTTAGAGGTTGTGGAATAATGTCTAGGTTACTTCAAGGAACAAAAGATGAAGAAGACACCCATCGCAATTATCAACGGTACATAATGTGTATGGATGGTCGGCCTCATTTACATGGCTCGACCGAAAAGGCCGGGGTTACGGCGCCGGTGTATCTCGGGGGTGTTCCGCCGTCCATTCTCCTGCCTTAGCGAGTAAGACGATGGGGTAAGAAGAACGGCTAATTTGTTCTATAAATCGTAGCTTAAAAAGAAGCGCGGAATAACTTTTAGACTTGACATATCACAACCAAGGATGAGGCGTGCCCTGGGTAGCCGTTAAGGATCTGCACCCTCGCTGGTCAGTGACCGGTAGCTCGGTGTTGTGATGAATCAAGCCCAGGTGAAGAGACGGCTCCAGAACAGAGAGAGACCCTTGGCCTGGTAAGCAAATTATTACATTCAGGGACTTTAATCCATTGCCCCTATTCCACCCACTTCTGCTGCCACCCCTCATCGGTCTGCAGCCTGCACGGTGGGAGGAGTGTGATCTTGATATAAGGAACGGATACGGACACTTCGTTTGTGGTATTGGAGGCCATCGCTTCATCAATTATAGTATATGCATCTGCTGTGGGAACACAAGCACGCGGATACGGTGAGGAATTGCTGCAGCGAAACGTGCAGGACAATGCACAATCAACTGCATAGCACGTTACGGTGTGCTTACGATTGGTAGAGCAGACGCAGCCAGCCGCTGCCCTTGCAGAACTGCGTGGAGGAGGCCAGCAACAGGGAGCAACAAGGCCAATTGTTAACCAGCGACAGCTGGTGCTTTTACTGCTCAACAGCAACTGCAAAGCCAAGCACAAGCACAAGCAAGGGTCCCCATGTCTTGGCCCACACCCGACTCGTTAAGTCGGGCTTCACACGCACGCCCCTAACCATCCATTACCAACCTCGTTTGCCTGTCCAGTGGAAGAGCTGCTGGAAGGTCGCTGAAAATCGGTTACTGGCAGCCCGCTGGGGCCAAAAATTCAACGTTGAATCGCTGCTGCAGGCATGATCAGTCCAACCCAATGTCTCTCACCATCATTAGTCGATAAAGATACGGAGGCGCCCGAATGGCAAGGAAAAATTCTTCTCTTTATTACTACAAAGCTTTTTTTTCTTGCCTCATTACGAAACTTTGCCTGCCGCCGCGTTAAAGTTGGCAAATAACAAGAGCAAGACAAGGGCCGGTCCAGCTTTGTTCATTCTGTTGAACCAGAACTAGCCACTACATACAGTAGCTAAATCCCGCTCCCCGGGCGGTTGGTTTTGCAGCCACTCTTGTTGTGACACTGTTAATGCTTCTCTTTGCGTAATTCCCTTTGGAATAGAGGCTTCAATCAAGTGGCATGGTCCGGGGCGCCCCTGGGCGTTGTGGTAGGGCTGCAAGAGAGCAAATGATAGGTTCATCCTGTGATTCCCTTCACTAGTTGACAGTGAATATTTTCTCCTATGCCATAAACGGGCATTTCTAGATTCCGTAGAACATATCCCGATGCTTTATTACTAACCAGCAGCCAAACACAACCACAAGCTTGCCGCCTCTAACAATGGCTATGGATTGGATGTACCTCTATCTGAATATCGTCACTCCACTACGCACACTCTAGAGGCTGGGCTTTATCGACCCTAGCCTAGCCACCAATCCGGCCATCGGGTGTTCCCCTCCAAAGGTCTAGATACATATCCACTGACAGGACGGGAACGGGTAGCCTCCAGTGATCCCTCCCTCCATTCATTCTAGTTATCTATCTCAGCGCTCGGGAGCGCCCAGAGACATTGACCACCTGGAAAGCCGTGGGGCAGGTGATGGCGATGGTGCTGTGGTGTTAGTGTTGGTGTCGGTATTCTGGGTGCGCACTGAGCGCTTTATGAGCAGGAGTGGTACTCAGTTGTCAATTGGGACAAGGCCAGCCTGGCCATGAGAAACCTGTTCCCGTCTGTTCCTTTCTTCATCTCCAAGTCTCTGGGCTTGGAGATTGATTCTGAAGTCTCTGTTTGTCGTTGTGTATCGGATACTTGCCTCTCTACAAATCAAAAAAAAAAAAAAAAAAAAAAAAAAAAAAAAAAAAAAAAAAAAAAAAAAGAAATAGAAAAAAAAGAAGAGCAAGCGCAAACACCTAGCAAGCGCGAGAAAATGGCTGAAAGTCTTGGATACTTTATTGGGTTTCAAATTGTCACTGATTCGATGCCAAATGCAAACAATCAAAGAGTATCCAGTACCCTCAACTGCCCCATCCATTCCTCCCAATCCATCGACGCCCCCCTTCCGCCCCCTTCCCCTTCCCTTCCCAGTCCCTTGCTCCCCTTCCAGGATGCTTCCCTACCCTGGCCTTTCGACCCTTTCCCCTTTCAGGCCTTGTTCCCCTTCTCTCTCCTGGTCACTTTCAGTCTACCCTCGACTCTTTCTGCTTTGACCTTTTTTTCGAACCCATTTGGCCCATTCGAATCGTCTCTCTCCTCTCTCCACACATTCAAAGCTAGAATCCGCTCGCCCCAGCGGCAAACCATTCAGTGCAATTCAGTTCAGTTCATTTCGTCCTATTCCCCATCTCCCTTTGTTCCTTGCATCATCTCGTGTCGACCGCAAACAGCGCCTTTCACCTCGATCATCTCGTCCTGTCCTTGGTTGTTCGCCTCTCAACAAATCCAATTCTCGCGACGTCCGGATCTTCATTCACGACGACAAGTCCCGGTCAAGAGATATCATTATCAGGGAGCGCATCTTGAACTCTAATCATAATGGCTGCGAACACAAAGGTAAAGCGCGAAACCACACTGCCTGAGAGCAACAGCACCTGTCATCGAATTTCTCGACATAACACTGCATCATCTCGCCACACATGATCGATCGTGTTGCTGACCGTTCATTAGTTCCTGCGAGAGTACAAGCTCGTTGTTGTAGGCGGCGGTGGTGTCGGCAAATCCTGCTTGACTATTCAGTTGATCCAGAGCCATTTCGTCGACGAGTATGACCCCACGATCGAAGGTTGGTGACTAAATTCCATCTGCGTGACCATCACGTCGCGTCAGGAGCAGTATTAACCCACCGTCAACTATAGACTCGTACCGAAAGCAGTGTGTCATTGATGAGGAGGTCGCACTGCTCGATGTCCTCGACACAGCCGGCCAAGAGGAGTATAGCGCCATGCGCGAGCAGTACATGCGAACCGGAGAGGGATTTCTGCTAGTCTATTCGATTACTTCGCGACAAAGTTTTGAGGAAATCACCACCTTCCAGCAACAGATTCTGCGAGTCAAGGATAAGGACTACTTCCCCATGGTCGTTGTTGGCAACAAGTGCGATCTGGAAGGCGACCGAGACGTTTCACGACAGGGTACGTTAGACTGCGAGTTAGCTTTAACATGAATCACTGACAATGGAGACAGAGGGAGAGGCACTTGCAAGGTCGTTCGGTTGCAAGTTTATCGAAACATCCGCCAAGTCCCGAATCAACGTCGACAAGGCCTTCTACGATATCGTACGAGAGATCCGAAGATATAACCGTGAGATGCAAGGCTACTCAACTGGCAGCGGCGGTACTTCAGGCGCGAACGGTCCCCCAAAGCCCATGGATATGGACAACGGCGAGCAAGAAGCTGGATGTTGTGCCAAGTGTGTACTGATGTAAAGGGAATAATATCTAAAGGCGAAAGGGCGCACATCTCGAGACGAGGCGGGATGCGATCGGCAGGATATACCCGATATGTCCGGTTTCTGTCAACTGCACGCGACACGATGTGAGGATGCAATATAACCAATAGGCTTTAGGAAGAGCACGGAGATGAAAAAGTTGATTGCATCGGACGGGAGTCAGGATCTGGGTTCATATTCACACTTGATTTGGACGCAGCCTACGGAGGTACCCAGCGACATGGGATTTAGGGACCCGGTGTGCTTATGACAAAGAAAATGTCTTTGTGAGCAATGCCGATGGTTCATGCTTAATGACCCACGATCCATACGACATGGAACATGGATCGGCGTTTCTCTGGAGTGGCTCGCTATCTTGGACGTTGTGGATAAACAAAGAAAAGAATCGTCTTCATACTGGAAGAGAGAGAAAGACAGGGGAGGGAGTCTGCTGCTGACATTGCGTATGCCAGATGCAATTAAATGCAATGCTACTCATCCCTTCCTCAGGACCTCGCGAGAGATAAAATTCACCCGACCATTTCCTTTTTTGTTTTGTGTTGCCGGGGAGGATGAACTTTTCAAAGTACGGCTTCAGATTCTCTATATCCTTATTTCATACATGTAATTTTTTGCTTCTCTTTTTCTATTTGTCAATCTCGAGGTCTCCTTCTCTCCAGCAGCAATGGTTCAGTCAGACAATACAAGTACACATCCCTTTTCTTACGGTTCAAACACTTTCGTCTTTGTCCCTTGATGCAGAACATTCCGTTCAACTGTGTTGTCAGCCACATGGCTTTCTAATAAAACAATCCGGAATGCTTCAGATCCGAGATTCCTCGGTGCGTCCTTTGAGTTTCTTGTGCATGACAGGGTGAATAAGTCCCTGGTTCACTATGTTAGGTCAGTCTCAGCCTATCTGCGTCGACATCTTGTTACGTATGAAAACTGATGAGTCAATTACAAACCTAGGTTCTATGTCTCAGAAACGCCAAACTCCGGAATCCTCCCACCTTAAATTCACATGAACCAGTGTTTTCAGCCATCCATTATCTAGACAGACACCTCTTCCCCAAGAACCCTGCCTGGGGTTATCTCTCGACGCGGATCGAGAAGTTCGCGCCCGATATTTAGATTCCACAGCGGCTTGTCAATCGCCTTTGGCTGGTTGTTCCCGTCGTTCTGTTCATTCACAACCCAGTCATTGCAAACAAGACAAGTCCATGCCGTCGGCGCGCCTGTTACAAAACCATCGACGTTCGCTGAAACATTGACCTGCTCACTAGGCTTTTGCGCAAGACAACTGGGACACACTGCCTTCTTGAAGCGCGACAGCCGCCATTCTTGCATCAATGCCGAGTGTTTCATAACCTCTTCGGCATAGTACAATCTATGGAACTGGCAAAGTGATGTTCCTAGCATTCTGTTGGCACACGAACAGCCTGTCAGAGCCTCGGTATTGCTGATGAACTTGGCGGCTTGCGAGGGGTCATTGACGGGTTTCTGCATGTTTTGGTAATGCTCTGCATCAGCTGCAATGCCATATACCCGCCTGGCACCGACAGCTTGATTCTGGGCCGCGTTCGGAGCACCGCTGCTCATCTGACCAGCACAATCATTGCAGAGATAAGCACGCATGCTGAGCAGTTCACCTTCAGTTATGGGATTGTGCTCATGCTGGAACAAGTACTTCACGTTGCCTCGGGTACAATCATTGCATACTGGGAAGTATCCTGGTGCTGTGTTGCGATGGGCAGAACTCTGGCAAGTAGCCTGACCTTGCTCACCAGTGTCCCAAGAGCCACATTTACCCCTTCCGCACTCTCCTGGCTCAGCGCAATAACACCACGTCCTCTCACCCTTCTCCTCGTAAGGCACGTCACCAAGAACATCACGTAAAGGTGCTGGTTGGTTTGTTTGACCATTGACAATGGAAAAGAGGCGCGGCCGAGACTCTTCTTTAGTCTCTTCAGACTTTGACTCATGCCATCCGTCCATGTCAATACCCTCGAGATGATTGAAGACCTTCCAGCGTGAGCTCGTTGGCTTTTCCTTAAACCGAGGTTTCTGGTCCGGACCGAATGTGAAACCGAGGAAAGGATTGAAAGCATCTTGATTGTTTGCGTTCTTGGGCACCCGGTTTCCGCGAGCCATTCTCTCTTGGAATGGCTTTTTGCCGCCTCTAGAGGTTTGAGGATTGTGCCAGCGCTCCCCACGATTCACCCGGGAGCGTTTATAATTCAAAAGATCTGTATAGGACATCTCTTTGAATTTGTCAATTCCATCTTGAGGTTGATCTTGAGGCTGTGGACCAGTGAGTGGCTCTTGTTGGCCATTTTCAACATCATGAGCCCCGGGCAGAGCCAGGATGGCACTGTCATCAGCAGAGAGCCGATGTTGACCGGGTCCAACGTCTTCGGTTTCTTGCCCATCTGCTATACCTTGGTCTGGCGGCGATTGTAGTGCTCGCAGCAGGGTGTTAGCCACGTATCGATCATACGCAACTTCTTCGTTTTCTCGCTGATCTGCTGGATCTCGAGGTTGGCCCTTGTGCTGTGAATGGGTATCTAATCGCTGTTGAACCAAGTTTCCGCAATCTTGTTGGTATGGCGGAACTTGGTTTGGGGACATTTGTTGTCCTTGCTGCGACTGGCCATACACCTCTTTGTCGGGTCTACTATGTATATGCTGGTCTGCTGGGTCTTGAGATGGCCGAATTGGCTGTGGCTGCTGCGTATGAGTATCCGGTTGCTGTTGATCAAAGCCTCCATACTCTTGCCAGCCTGCTGCTGGACCTTGAGATGGTCGAATTGGCTGTGGCTGCTGTGTATGGGCATTTGGTTGCTGTGCCGCTGGATGTGGATATAGCTGTGTTTGCGGTGCCGATGCATTTTGTTGATGATGGTCTCTGTATTGTACTGGCGGTAGGTATGGCGGGTTTGGCAGTATTTGTGGTGTCCCCTGTGATTGTGTGGCATTCGGATATCCATAAACACTTGGAAGCATACGGTTATGAATCCTCTCAATGTCAATGAGCACAGGACCTCCCTGAAAGCTGCGCACGCTTCTTGTCGGACCTGGCAAGTTGATTTCCACACCGGCCTGCGACATCTGAAGATTCTGATTGTCGCGCAGGAGCTTCCAAACTTTCTGGTACGCTTGGAGATCGTTCTTTGGAGGTTGGCTATTTGACCAAAGCTCAGTAATGATCCCGCGCAACTGTTCGGCAGTTGTGTCCTCTAGTAACACGGCGGGTGTCGTAACAGGGGGGATAGCGTCGCCTGGCGGGCGATGATGTCGATGAACGTCGGCTATGTATCGATAATGCCGTGGACGATCCTTGATGTTGGTCAGGCCGTACACAGGAGCAGCAGGACCAATCCAATGTTCAACCTGTCGACCATCCTTTATATCGTCGACACCGTCAGGACCATATCCCAAGGCCAGGTAGTACAAATGACCAGGACTATAGGATCTTTTGTTTCCCTTGCCGGCTACCTTGGCGCGATCAATACATCCAGGTTTGTCGTAACTCATTGGATCGCATTTCGCTTTGTGATGTCTGCAACTATCACATGGTCTTTGTCGGTCACAGTTTCTCCCAGCCTCTGCACATTGCTTGCAGACCTTGAACGGGGTGAATTGTCCGAAACCAACCCTGCTCAAATCGAAGATTGGATACGGTCGAAAATCATCACCTTCTGGGACCCAACAGTCAATACCAAACTGCGTACAGCGCTCACACGCGTGGTCTGGCTGGATCCACATGACCAGACAGTCAGTGCCTTTCCCAGCTGTCTGGCACGCCTGACACGGCTTTCTCCAAGCTGTGTCCGTTGCCACTTTCGCATATTCATGCCATTTCCCTCCCTTCTCGAACTCGGTGCGTATCTTCCAGCTCGATGGCCAGGTAGTTTGAGAAAAGGAGGCCATGGGAGTTCCAAGGTCCAAACATTTCGCCCCGTCCCGTTGACATTGTCTACAGGCTCGGTTGTCCTCCCACTCTGACCTGTTGGTGATCCAGCTACAGCACTCGTCTCCCTTCATCTCACCGAACGTCTTGTGACGCAAGAGACAGCGATCGCAGGGATGTCGGTACCACGGTCGACGTGTGAGCTTGTTTGGCCGTCTCATGGGCAACACAGACTTGTCAACCTCGCAGCTCCCCAGTTTTCGACAATTGAGGCAATAATAGCCTAGTATCGTATCGACATCGCACGTCTCTTCCCAACCCTTTCTGGTACAATGGTTGCAAGTCTTCTTCACATATGTTCGAGGATCGCGATCGCCGTATCTTTTGTACTCGAAGTTGATCAAAGGCGTTGTGGGGCCTCGAACACGACACATATGGTCGTCTGTTTTGGCGAGCTCTGTGTGGTCCTTGTTTCGAGAGCGATAGTTGGCACAGTTGCTGCATTCTATATTGTATATCTCGGGGCCGTTCCTGTTGGGAACCTGTTCCCAGTCACAGACCGGGTTGGCGGCGTAGGCCGCAGGGTGGGTAGCACAGAAGTTGCAAATCGTCCCTGGATCGACCAGTTCATTGTCTTCTTTCTTGCGATTCCTGCGAGAATTGCCTGCCTCGGCGTCATCGACCTTGTCCTTCTTGGTGGCACCCGGTCGCCTCCTGGGCTTCTTTGGCGGCCTGGGATCCGAGGGAAGATCATCTTCGTCATCGTCGTCCTCCTCATCGATATCTGCTTTCCGTTTCCTGGTTCTCTGGGGCTGTCTTGATGGAGTTGACGTTGTGTTTGGAGTTGGATCAGGGATTCTAGAACTGTTGGCGTTATCTCCCTCGGTGCCAGATGCGTTTGGCGCGAGATTTCTCGTCCTTTTCGGAGCGGGCGCCGTAGTATTTGGAGAAGCTGCCCGACCTCTCTTTCTGCGTCCACCTGTAGATGGGGCAGCAGGCGATGGCTGAGATGGAGGAGGAGGAGGAATGGCATGACCGTGAATAGGGTAGCCCCCGTTGGAATGACCCCCATTGGGATAAACTGCAATGGGTTGACCTCCATGTTGTTGATTTTGAACAGACACAGATCCAACACATGCATCAGAATCATTGCCAGTATTACTCCAAGCAGGGTTAGGCTGACCGAAAAAAATAGGAAATCGGTTTAAGAGTTCAATAGCAGACATATTGGCTAGATCCATTCCATGGAGAAGATTGTTGTATCCATACCACGAAGCTGGAGCTGGAGCTGGAGCCGGGTTTGCAATATGTGGAGGTATCTGGTACATATTTTGCATTTGATTTCTCTGGTTTCTCTGGTTCGTCTGTTTCATTGCATGCCACTGATTCCTGGGGTGTATTTGCTCCATCTCGTGCTCTTGGGGCATCCGATGTAGTTGAGGTTGCTGTCCCCAAGTGGCCGGGCCAGCGTTCGGTGCGAAGCCAACCCGACCGGGCTCGATGGAACCTGGATAGCTCAAACTTGGATCCCACTGATTTCTCTGTATCCCGTTATTTTGATCCTGATATTGGCCTGGATTTTGACCCTGATATCCAGTTTGATTCTGGTTCTCATCCTCCGGAGGTATACCGGGGTTGTAGTATTCCGACATGTTGTTATAGTCTCGAGAAAGAAATCGTTTCTGTTCACCTCTCGATGAATAATACGGTATCCTGAACTTATGGACTTTGTTTGTAAGTAGTTGATAGCAGGTAACTTAAAACCAAAGTGTGCTCTGAGAGTCAGTGTGTTGAAGACGGACTATACAACAACACCAATAATAGAAACAATAAGAGTCCTTTCGACAAGGTTTGATCTTGAATGTAAAGAATGAACATGTATTGCTCAAGACTTGAGCTGGTGTTCTTGTTCTTATCAACTCAATGTTCCTTCGCCCAAGTCTTGGATCCTTTGTTCCACACATATCAACCAACGTGAAGCCTCTTTGTTCAAGAATCTCCCTTGGCTACCCAGGGCACACTCTATGGTTCTTTGATACCCGATTTAGATCTCCTGGTTCCATTATTCGTCTAGTGTCATCGAGTGTTCATTCATTCTCGACTGATGCACAAAGAACTTGAGAAGAATTAGGCAGAGTTCGTAGATAGGACATCCATAAGAATAATTCTAATGCCATGTATAACCAATAGCCCTTGTCCGTGAGCCTCTTTTTGTCTTGACGGGTTTGCTGAGACTTGATCATTGTGATGTGCAAACGTATCAGATGGACCCCCTGGGCCGAATCTGATTCTTTGTTGATATCTCTATTCACCGATCGAACGGGCCAGTGCTTTTTCAATACAGCCCCTTTATCACCGGGGTCAGCAAAATAGTGAGTCTGGCTCCCTCTTGGTCTGAGTGTGGGCGTATCTCATAGACCTAGAAGCCGGGAAATAGCTTCAATTAAGAAACGCCACTCTACCAAAAGGATATAATACGAAATTCTTGCTTTTGTATCTACACATACTCTTCACATCCTGCCGCTGTGCTCTAGGCGACTAGCCTTCCACAGGTGTCCTAATCGTTAATGCTTTTCGCTATGCCTTCCAAAGAGTCCATCCCGTTTTCCCGTCAAAGAAACGCTCAATTATCCTCGATTAACCCCAGTATACATACATATCTAATGATCCTCACTTCAAATTCCTCAACAGTCCATCTTGTCCTTCTAATACCAGCTAGATATCGTGTCAAGAAGCGAGAGAGCACCAAGCCCGTCTGCCCATTTGCACTTAACACCGAACCTCCACTATCCTCTTATTAAATCCATAACTTCGCCTAACCGGAGAATTGAAAGCGCGTGGCCTCGAGCTGACCGAGTCCGTCGCGGGGTGCCACATTTCGTCGTCTGTAAGTGTTGGTGAAATCTTGCAGAATCGCACGCACATTCTTCATAGCGCTGGGGTCTCCCGACTCAAGCCTCTCCTTGATCTTGATGAGGAATCTGTTGGCCTCGGCAGGGGAAACAGTGCCCTCTGGTAGTAGCTGTATTGTATGGGATACCCACTGGTGAGTCTGGAGAGGAACCAGCTCAAACAAAGCCAGCAGAACACCACTGCCATCAGCGAAACAGTCGCGGGGGAAAGTGATCATCATGCCCGCCATGACCTGCTTGACCAGACCCTCGCCAAGAGTAAGTAGCAGATTCTTGACAATGGCCTTGACCTCAGCAGCCGTTGCCTCTGGTAGCCTATCGCTACTAGCAGGGTTATCGCCACCGTATGACAAGAGATCACGGAGGAAATGCAAGGTTGAGGACAGAGGGTCGCGCTGCTCTAGAGTCAGAGCGTAGATGGACGCCTCAAAGACAGACCTCAGAAGATGAGATGGAATGAGCTTCTGGGGGTAGTAGAGAAGGGCATCGATCAGAAGGCGGAAGAAGTCATCAATAACATCAGGGAGTTCCTTGGGTTGTAGTTCCGTCATGACTCGGAGGAAGGTTGTTGTCTGAGCTTCAAAAAATGTGTAAATGTTCTCCGTGGTGGCTTGGTCAACGTGCTCTCGTGCTTCAGAGAACTCGCGCAGGATTGCTGAAGTGACCCACAAGAAGCATCCTTCCCTTGAGTTGTTGAAGCCGCCAGCAAGCTTGTTTGCCATTTCCGGGAGCAAAGGGGTCATGGCTGTGCGGTGGGCAATGACCATATTGCGCCAGCACCTGCAGACGCGCTCGCAGATGGGTGTGAAGTTCAAAAAGTTGTCCAGTACGGTGGAAAGGATGGGGAAAACCTCCTGCCAGTACTTGACAGCAGGGTTCTCCTGACCAGGGCTCACAGGGGGCACGACGTATTGAACAAAGATGGTGATGAGCTGTAGGTGATCTAAACAGACGTTAGTCTTGCATGATGAAATGAATTCAGGCTTGCTTACCAGCGAGCGCCAATTTGCCCTCCTCGTCTGTAGCATTATTGGCTTTGGCCATCAAACGCTGAATCAATGGGTCGCAGTATAGCTTGAGCAATCGGTAGATCTCCTCCGTGGGCTGGCAAGCCACAACATTAGCAACGCCTTCTGTAATCTCTTCCTTACTCAAGTCAGGGAGCTTATCCAGAACTTCATCATAAAAGGTCTGAAGCTGTAGCACTTGACCACTCAGGAGGTGTTTGCAATCTGTACAGAAGAACTTGATAGCCAAGGCGGCGGCGCGGATGATCTCCCTGGAATCTGACTGGAATGATGTGACGATGTAGTTGAATTGAGGCTCGAGATATTCCGGATGGGCAGCCGTCCATTCGGTATAGCGGCCGAGTACCATGATAGTTGCGAAACGGAGCTTCTCGTGGCTCGGCATCTGTACAAGGAGAGGCATGAGCTGGCGAAGCACAATGCTCTCATCCTTGTCCACCATGCGACCAAGAGCGCGCATGGCAAATAAAGGCGCCTCCAGCTCCTGCCAGTGAGGTACCGAGTTGTCGTTCACTTGGTTGGCATACTTTGACATCCACAGCTGAATTGCTTGGAGAACCTTGGTGAGACAGTCCGTAACGCCCATCACCTCACAGCAATCCTTTAGTGTATCGCCCATCTGGTGTCGAAACTCTCTGAATTTCTCCTCCTGCTCGCGATCTCCGTCGAATAGATCAGTTTCGTTACCCGAGTCCGGCTTAGGGTATTCGAGGTGCTTTAAGAGAATGTCCACCAACTTGGAGTAGACGTCAACTAGCTCAAGCCGACCTTGGATATAAATCTCCAACACAAGGTAGAGCTTGAGCTCGTACCAAAAGTTAAAGGTATGCTCAATAACATCGCGCTCCTTGTCTCTCAAGGCGCATTCCAGTACAGCGTCAACCAGTGGTCGGAAGTGTGTAGGTTGGCGGGCGATTCCAACGACCCAACTCTCAGCAGCAGTTGCAAACACCTTGGTCAAAGACTTGAGTGTCTCTGTGTCATCCTCCTCAGCTGCCTTCGCCACTTGGGGCTTCAAGGAGATGATTCGTGGAAATAGTAGCTCGATGATCTCCTGACTCTCGTCCACGTCGCTGGTCTCTCGAAGCATGGTGCAAAGACACTCGGAAGCCTCCTGGCTGCAACCATCGCTAGTTGTGCCGTTGAAAACAATATCCATTAGAGGCGACTTGACAACATTGCCTACTGGGACCTCTCGGAGCCAGGAAGTAATACACTCCATCAACTGAGGGCTCTGAGCGGCTGCGGCTGCGATAGATGTCAGGATCTTGGCAGTGGTAGAAGGTCGCGCAACTTACGTGAGGACTGAGAATAGTTGATAAGGAGTTGGACGACCTGGTCCGCATTATCGGCCAAGAGAGCCTGCGTTCGCATCGCAAGATCTTCTTCCTAATTCCAAACAATTAGACTTGAACTGGTGTTGAGGTCGACCGGATTTGACAATCTCGAAAGAAGCGAATTCCCGATCTATGGTTGCGCGATCCACGTACAGACAAGGTGATCTTTCGACCCTCGGTAACTTCTTCAGGGAGAACCCTCAGAAAATCCAGAATGCAGGCGTGGCTCTCTGGGCTGTCACTAAGCGACTGAACGACAGAAGGCAGAACATCGTTCCAGTCCTTCATTTGAATCGCGAGAATGGCCAGACACACACAGAGCTGGACACGGATAGGCTTGGGTCCCGGGGCGAAGTGCTTTAGAAGTAAGAGGATTTGGTTTCGAAGGGCGGGCAGTTCGCTCGCAGGAACTTGGGTAGAGAGGTCGTATGTGATCTAGAAGGGAGAAGTTAACAATGAGGCCGAGGTGTATGTCACAAGCTTCAAACCTTTCCACGCAGGGTAATGGCTGCAAAGAGGGTTGCCTCTGGCTCGGCATCAGACTGCAGAATGCCCATTATAGTTGCCCATGAATCCTTCTATACATATCCAACGTTAGCTACCTAGCCGTATAACGAAGAGCTTCCAGCGACGCACTGATTTCTGAAACCTCTCCAGGTACTCGTGGGCATGCTTCTTGGCCTCTTGCTCCCCGCTCCTCATAGTCATAACAGCAGCCAGCACATCAGGCGGCGCAAAAGCCTCCTGGGCTCCGTTCGAAGCCATTTCGTCTTGAAGGGCGAGCAGAGGATATCAAAACTGAGTATCGGGGTATATGGCTATGATGCGCACGATCGACCCTCGTAAGTAGTGGCGCATGCAAAGGGGGGCAGCAGTTGGGATCGATGAGGCTCCTATGGATCGCGAGGGAAAACTTTGGCGAGAGTATAAGTCGAGAGAACCGGTCGAGAAGGAAGGGAAGAATGGAAGTAAAGTACGAAGCCCAGAAGGCAAACAAGTCCTGAAATTCAAGAGAGTAGGTGATTCAATGACCTGGCTAAAGTTTGTTAAAGGTCAGGATAAGTGCCAACTAGAAGTATTTACGATTCTTAGGTTGCTCGTCATGGTCATGGCGGGGCAACCGCCCGGATATTAACCGACATCTAAGCTTGACTCACATGACACATGGACGAAAGATATCTGCATCTCTGGTATTATTAATAACATTTAATGTATACGAAACTCAAACATTTGATTCATGATACCTGATAACAGAGCTTCGTGTTTGTGCTGAGGATAGTTTGTCAACTATCTGAACAACAGAGCTGAATCTATTGTACCTACACCTGGGAATATCACGTGGCCCCAATCTTATTCCAGGTCCTTCGATTCTAATGTTATAGATCTTGTCGTGGGTATCGCGAAGTAGAAGCTTCATGTACACCGGCCTTGATCTCGCCATTTCCAAGAATAAGGCCATTGAGTCTACGGTCGTGAGTGTCCGTGGGAATCTGAAGCTCCGATGTCGCAGGCACTATCTGTTCTGTCAAAGCCAAGCCATACAAATGTAGCGGGTTCTCGTGCGCTATGTCCTTTGTTTCGAGTTTGGCCATGTATCTGTTGATAAAGAAATCATAAAAGCCCTTGCCGTGGCCAAGGCGTCGAATCGACCCTGACTGGTCAAAGTCGAATGCGACTCCAGGCACAACCATGAAGTCTAGAATTGCAGGCTCGGAACTTTGAATGTCTGAACCACCCAGTATACGTTTTCTCGCATCGACAGTAGTTGGGTCCACGCTGGGAATCCCCCACTTATCCAACTTGAGGCTCTCATAGTCCTGGACGTCTTTTAGGTGAACCATGTCCATTACCCGAGCTGGAGTATCCGGTGTTTGAAAAGGCGACTTGTGTAAGTAAGGAACAAAGACCTGCTTGCCAGCAGATAAGGCATGGCGCACAATAGCATCTGTCTGGACCTCAGCCGTCGGCATGGCCAGATAGATGCTGATGCGCCGAGCATCCTTGTAAGGCTGAAACTCTTTCAAGGTCTCAAAAATACAACGACCTGTATGACTGGTGTTAGGGGAATTGTTCTACGAATAGGCACATGACATGGTAATGGGTGATTGGTTGGTTGTCATACTCTGAGTGGTGATGGAGTCCTGGGTGATCTTGGACAGCTTCTGCTTCATGAGACTTCTCAGCTGCTGCTTAGCAGCGGGAAGGGATGACGCCATGGCGAGGCTGACAAGACAGATGAACCAAGGTGGATTGGCGATTGTCCCTGTTTGTTGGTGGAAAACTGTATTTTGGATAACGTGCTGGAGAAGCTTCCATGGAAGGATGCTGCGCTAAGAATAAAAAGCTCCTGGCGTGACACGCCTTTGGGACCGACGGAGCGGATACGCGCCGAGCCCAAATCGCTCTCTGGCGTCATCGCCATCATGTGAACGGAAGCCGACGCCGTCTAATGTTGAGACATGACAGGCGGCATCGGCGGTGAGGCCCGAGGAGATAAAATGAAAGCCTAATTCCACTCCAATCGCCCTTATATCTGGATTTCAGTCGACAACGGCGGATATTGAGAAAAAGACGACAAAGCGAATATTTGGAGGTTACGGATTGCTCAACTGTTGCGGAGTCTGTCCAAGGGACCTGATGGTAACCCCCACGCGAAGGCTAGATAGGAATATTTGGGAGCGTCAACCATCGATCCTAGGCTTTGGGAACGAGGAAAAGACGGCTCAGTACGTAACGACTTTCATAAAGAAGCTATGGTGTCAACCTGGGATTTCATAACGCTCATCAACCATGCATGGCTGTCTGTAAGCACCGTATAACGTAAGGAGATATTATCTCCACTAGGTAGTAGGCTGCAGACCACGATTGGAAATGCAATTGATATCAGATAGTTTGAATTGTCAGGTCTCGGATTGGCAGAAATTCTCAAATGGCACAGGTATTTCGAGCCTGGTGCTTCAGACCATGAAAAACCGTCCGTATCTCATGGGTTCACCATGCACCAGAACAAGCTTATCATTTGCAATAGGCGGCATTCTATTGCTCAGAAGTTGGGACGAACCCAATCCTCGCTAGCTAAAGCCATGTCTCAGGCATTGCTGACGAGGAAGAAGTTTGAGCATGGGTGGTTAACGCGTGGGATGTCTGAAATGAGGATCTGAATTCCTTCCAGGGACTGGGGCGTGTCGTGAGAAATGCCTTCAAGGGTCCGCTGTCTATAGAGAGGAATGGGATTCACTACCAGATTGTCTCGCGACGAGGCAGAAGGCTGACGTATAATTGCTCGATTACGAACAAACAGCGGCAGATCTACAAGTTCAGTAACGTAAGGTTCTTAGGCTTTTGAGCTATCTATCTGGATCATCAAGGTGTCAGGAACGGTTCCTAGATGCTCTGATAGTGACAGAGACAGGGTCAAAAAGGGCCGCCAAACAGGCCAGACAGAGGACAGCCAGGGTACCATTGGAACACACAGGCATTTGGTTTGTGATTGTGATCACATCTTTCGGGTGTTATCTAATCAGATCCATCAACCATCCTCAGAAATTTGAACGTTCCCTGTAGCCTGTAGCCGAGATGGGGACGTCAGGGGTTTTGGTTCGGCCCGCTTGTTTGCTGCCGGCTGTGACGATGAGGTGCTTGGTGCTCAGTGCGTCTTGGAGACGGGAACGAGGGTTTATATGACTGAGAATGAGGAAAGATAGAGATCAAAAGCATCTCTGTGGTTCGTGAAACACCAGTATGCTGCAGCCACTTTAAGGCTGTGAGTACCTTATGTGTCTGATTTGGTATATGGCACCAACAACTCCCAGAACTGCCCTGCTGTATGAAACTGATAAACAAATTGCCTGGTACCCAATAAACATGTGAGATGGAAGACAGCCATTCATTCATTTTGGCAAAGATCTGGGTGCCCTCTTGTGGAATGGCACTTGGCTTCCCAATTATTTGTGAATTGCAATTGGATAGTTTTCATTCCTGGCACCTTCAAATGAAGCGTTGTTAGCAAGTAATGCAACTATCAATAGTGTTTTCAGCACCAATATCAGTGCTCATGTGGTCTATTCTTCTCATACACCGCATACTCTCTGAATCATACCCATAGACATTGCCCGAGCTGCCTACTATTAACTTATGCAAAATGCACAACGCTCAATGTATTGTCTTGCCTCAGTAGATTGCCGTCATCCCGTCACCGACTCCCCTAGTCATCCGCTTCATCCTGGTCACCACCCACTCAAAACCCTTGAACTCCCCACGCGTAAAGACAGGGCTGTCTTCTCCAAAAGCTCTTGCTTGCTTGATGGGCATTCCCGTAACGCGCCGTAGCCTTTGCTTTTTTATGTCTCTCTACCTATCACTGCCTTTGTATATACTTTTTTGTCATTAATGACATCCACCTGTTGACAATTGGATCCTTCTGAGGCACTTTGCTAGCGGACGGCCCCTCTAACCACATTCTCTTATGGTATCAGGGCCCTTTTGATGCTGCTCCATACCATTACAAGGCAATGCCACACGCCAGGTCGATGAGAGCTGGAGCCCATTCGATCACGCCCCTCCTAAGCCGCTATTTCGTTCATGCTGGCTTGGCTTGTTAGTCAACGATAGTGTGGATATCATATCCATAGGTAAGGTAGCCAGATATTGATACACGATACACGCCCCCGCCATGGGTAAACACACCACCAACTCATCCTCGGCCTCCATCTCTTCCAGCAAACGAAGCCTAAGCCGCCAATCTTCAGCGTCTTCGTCCCTGGCAGAGAGGGTTGGAGACAGGGTTGCTGGTGATTCCCCTCCACTCCGCCAGGACGTCGCCCTTCAGCCCCTAACATCCGCATCCACGTCTGCATCCTCATCCTCTGCCAGGTCCACCGTGACTGTCTCACCCTCACACCCAGTCCAAGCCAAGGGCCATGTCTTGCCGTATCAGGCTCCGGCCTCTCATATACCTCCTCCATCATTAACTACCGCTGCTACCCCAGCTGCATTTGCATCTACACCTGCATCTGCATCTACTTCTACGCACGCTTCAGCTCCAACCTCAGCTGCTCCTCCATCGGTTCTCGTTGATAATCAAGATGCGGCGCAGCCTCCTGATCATATCGATTCCGACGATAGTCTAGATGCCATTCCTCAACCCATAGACGACACTATAGACATGGCTTCCAAGAAGACACCCTTCTTGCGCTCCGCCGCCGCTCGCTCCGACGCTGCTCCCTACGGTTCGGTCTCACTAACACCCAGTCGCAATAATTCACCCGCTGGTAGTGATCGCTGGGATCCCGATTCCCACCAGCTTCGTCACGTTCCGGATGCGCAGCGCAGCGAGACCTCGCACCGCTCCATCCTTGGCAAGAAATCCTCCTCGAGGTTATCCGAAGAGATCGATGGCGCCGTCCTAGTCTCGGGTCTCGAAGGCCGCCTGGGCATTACCGAACCTACGCATACTGGTGTTCTCGAGGGTAGCATGAAGGACGACTTGTCCGAAGATGGGGCACTGCTGGATGACGCTTCTTCGGCCGCATCAGATTCTGAACATCAAGAAAACTCACCTCACGAGGCTGTTCGCGCGTCCGTTCCGCCTACAGACAATACCACTCTCTCCATAAATACGCCACGCATGTGGTGTCTCTCTGTCATTTTCGCCGTTCTAGGCTCTTCGACCAATCTGTTCTTCTCTTTAAGATACCCTAGTGTTGCCATTACTCCAGTTATTGCCTTATTGCTCGTCCATCCTCTTGGACATTTGTGGGATTTTGTGCTAAAGCGACCTTATGACCCCGAGGAGGAGTTTATCGATGGTGTACGGACGACTTCTGTCAGTGACGATGCGCATGGGTCGCATAAGATCAAGAGACGCACGCGTTGGAGGAGATGGTTAGCGCAAGGTCGTTGGAACGAAAAAGAACATACTTGCGTCTATGTCAGCAGCAATGTCGCATTTGGCTTCGCCTTTGCGACAGATGTTATTGTTGAGCAGACTCAGTTCTACAACCAGGAAGCCCCTATCGTGTACCAGCTTCTTCTCACTATATCCACCCAGATTCTCGGTTATGGCTTTGCAGGTCTAACACGCCGCTTCCTTGTTCGACCCAGTGGAATGATCTGGCCGGGGACTCTTATGTCGGCAGCCATGTTCTCGACGCTTCACAAACAGGAGAACAAACCTGCCGGGGGCTGGACCATTAGCAGGTGGAAATTCTTCTACATCGTCTGGACTATATCCTTCCTCTTCTATTTTCTCCCCGGACTACTTATGCCAGCACTTAGCTATTTCAACGTCATTACCTGGTTTGCGCCCAAAAATGTCGTTATTGCAAACCTGTTCGGCGTCTCCTCCGGTCTTGGGCTCTTTCCCCTGACCTTTGACTGGGCGCAAGTCACCTACGTTGGCTCACCTTTACTTGTCCCATTCTGGGCTGCTATGAATGTTATCGGAGGTTTAGCTGTGGTAATGTGGATTATTGCACCTATTCTCTACTACACCAACGTTCTCTTCTCATCATACATGCCAATTCTTTCAGCTGCTGTTTTCGACAACACGGGCAAGGTCTACGATGTCAGCAAGATTCTCACACCTGATTTTCTCTTTGACCGAGAGGCCTATCAGAGCTACAGCAGAGTGTTCTTGCCAATCACATACGTGTTGAGTTATGGTGTTCAATTCGCTGGTCTGGCTGCTCTTCTAACGCATACTGCCTGTTGGCATGGTCAGGATATATGGAGGTCCTGGAAACGAGCACTTGAGGAGGCTCGCGAGGATGGGCAGCCGAAGTATGAACCGGTAGCGGATTCTCCTGGGCCTTTACCACGACAATCGTTCGACGAGGACCAGAGGCGCATGTCAACATCCACTTCTCATGTAGATGGAATTATTAGCCGCGAAGATATCCACAGCAAACTCATGAAGAGATACAAGGACGCCCCCCTGAGTTGGTATCTAATCACGTTTCTCTCCATGACTGCCATTGGCATCTTTGTTGTCGAATAGTAAGTCTGCGCTCAAGCTTTTTCAGATGTCTTCCCTTGCTAACTGGTCTAGCTATCCTGTCCATTTGCCCTGGTATGGCCTACTTCTCGCACTTGGTCTCGGAGCCCTGTTTTTCATCCCCAATGGCATCATTATGGCTGTCACAAACCAACATAGCAGCATCTATCTCATCTGTCAACTCATCTGCGGTGTTGTGTTCCCTGGTCGCCCCATCGCAAATATGGTTTTCGTTACATACGGCTACATCTCATCAGCGCAAGGCATCAAATTCGCTTCTGATCTTAAACTCGGCCACTACATGAAGATTCCTCCTCGCATCCTCTTCCTTGTTCAGATCGTCGCGACACTTGTCTCGTCGCTAACTCAGATTGGAGTGCTCAACTGGATGTTCGCAAACATCAAAGGCATTTGCACTTCAGAAGCTCTCAATGGATTCACCTGTCCCATTGCAAGAGTCCACTTCAATGGCTCCATTCTGTGGGGTGTTGTCGGACCTAACGAATTCTTTGGTCCGAAGGCCATATATCGTTCCCTGGTCTGGTTCTTCCCCCTTGGCGCTCTCCTCCCCATTCCCCTGTGGCTTTACTGTCGACGTCACCGCTCCAGTATTCTCCGCAAGGTCAACCTTCCTGTTATCTTCGGCGCCATGTCCTGGATACCTCCTGCAACAGGCCTCAACTTCTCCGTCTGGGTACTTGTATGCTACGTCTTCAACTATCTTATCAAGAACCGCCACAATGCCTGGTGGAGCAAGTACACCATGACCTTGAGCGCCGCCCTCGATTCTGGGCTTGCCTTTGGTATAGTAGTTGTCTTTTTCGGCTTCATCTACCCTGGACTTGCAAAGAATCTCAAGTGGTGGGGCACTGAAGTGTACAAGCAGGGTTGTGACTGGCAAGCATGCTCATATAATACCCTCCCGGAAGGTGAGCGCTTCGGGCCCAAAACATGGTAAAAAGTCGAGGACATAGGGAAAAAAGGATTTCTTTTTGGAAAATACTGCATATAGATTCTTGTCCTCATTATGAGGGCCACAATGATAGACAGCATGGACGGCTACGATTGGCATTATTACAAAGGCGTGGTTTGTTTACATTGATTCAAAAGGTAGCATCAGCTTTGGCTACAGTATGGGCAGTTTCGGTTCAGCATCAATTGACATAGCACGTTGCTTTTGGACCAAGATAAAACTCGAAACTTGGTTTCTCCGTCTACCATAATGCCTATTCCCACCCGCTTCTTTACTGCGCTTACGGCAGATTACCATAGAATACAGTGTAATTAAGTCTGGCGTTGTAACTTGCCTGGTTTTAGAAACCAGAACCATGCTAATAACAAGTTCAAACCGTCTATTTCTCAGCTTCCCATTCAGGGTTCTACAAGTTTGAGTCAGCACGTGTGGATAGTTTGTTGAACGTTGTGCAACTTACCTTCCGCAAAATTACCAAGCCTTCTAGAGTGCTGTTGAGGCTGATATACTCCTCATCTTCCAGCTCTGCTCGCTCACCATATCCGAGCACCACAGGTGTGCTCTGAGTTTGCCAACCAGTGATTGTCTTGGGACGACCAGCTTGGCCAACGACATCGACGGCTTGACCCACGCGGACGTTGACCTTGAGAGGCTTGAGGTCTTCGTCCAAGGTAACAAGGAAGCGGGGGTGCATAGCCGTGACAAGGAAGTAGAGGAGGTAATGTGACTGGCCGGTGATAAACTCCTTGGGCTCAATCATAGCGACAAGAGTAGCAAGCAGACCAGCGGCCGCTACACGGGACAGAACCTGACGATCTGTGTGGAAGGGACTGATTGACAGAGTACCCTTACCCATGTGGAGGAGACCCTGGGCGATTCGCACCATAAAAAGAGCATCCTGGTCACGGTGGTAGTAACTGGCGAGTTGTCGAAGCAGCTGAGCTAATCGGGCGTTGTTGGTGCCTGCACCCAGAAGACCCATGGCAAAGATGGCGTTGATAGCAACCTCAGGATCATTGTCGTGGCTGTATCTTGAGAGGGTATCATACACCTTCATTTGAGGGTTGCTGGGGCTAATGAGACCCATGGCAAGGGGCACAGCTTTTCGAATGTTGGCCTCGCCGTAGTGCATGAGATGACCGAACTGTCGCAGGACCATTTCTTGGCCAATGTCTTCACCCATAGCCACAAGTGCAATACCAATCACCGCGTATGCCTGTAGAAGTTCGTCGCCCCTCTTCTCTTCAGACTCTTCTTGATGCTCATTGCAGATATGGAGAAGCTCCTGGATCTTAAGGACAGCACCAGTTCCGGCCCACGCGCAAATCTCAGCCATGACAGCGGTCGACTTGGCCATAGGATGCTCGATAGCCTTCAGGGTTTCGAGGATAACATCAACTTCTTCTTGTCGGCCAAAGAAGAGAAGACCTAAACCAAGAGCCAAGAATCGTGTCCACTTGTCAGTCAGTTGGTTTTTGCGATCGTCGTCCATTAGAGTAGTGACAATGGCCTCGCTGATTTCCGGGTGAGAAGACCCAGTGAAGATAAGACCGCAGGATAAAGCAGCCATTGCCGAAATCTGCATATCAACACTAGCATCAGAGATCATAGGTAGCAAGTGCTCGAGAACGTCCTCCTTGTTAGATCCGGCATAAGCAAGTCCAAGACCCATGATGCAGGCAGTCCTGACAAGGGGGTTGGGATGGTAAAGCTTGTCCCCATCAGCCAACAGGGCAATGGCTGGATCCGAATCCATTACTACGCCCGAATTCATAATTCCAATAGCAAGCATTGCGCCAGCCGAAATCTCTGTCTCTGAAGAGTACGTATACTTATCGATCTTGTCAAGCCCATTCTCGATATCCCACATCAAAAGAGTGCCCATGGAGGCGACGGTGGACATCATGCCATCGGCTTTGGTCTTCCAGACCCATGTCTCCTTCTCACCGTCCACGAGCATCATCTTATCGTTACCGAAACCAGCATTCACAAAAGCATTGACGAATGCCGCTGCAAGGTTATGCCGAGCAGAGTCCAGGTTGGTCATTCCTGCAACTCGACTGCTCTCCAGATGGCTCTTGTAGATATCCTCGGTAGTCTTTGGCTCCAGGATGTTGAGCTCCTTGCCCAGCGACTTGAAATGTTCCGACAGCTTCAGGTTGCCGAGGGACTCCACAAGGGCAGTGTTCTCTTCTGACTGGTCATCAACATCAAGGGCTATCCTTTGCCGGGCAGTCAGAAACGCGAGCTGCTTCTGAAGGGCAGGGTCTTCAGCCTTGTCGAAATCGGACTTGATGAGTTCGTAATCGTGAAGTCGAATTGCAAGGACCATGGCCTGCGCAAACTGCTTGTATTCCATGTAGATGTCGTGTGCGGTCTTGAGAAAAGTCTCATTGTCGGGGTAGGTAAGGAGGTTAACCATCGAAGACATGTACAAGCATACACGAGCGTATGTGTTTTCGTCCACGAACTTGGGCATTTCCTCAATAATTTCAAGTTCGCTCATAAGATCCACTGCATCGGCCTCGGCGTTGCTCTTGAGGAAGAGGGGGATCAAAACAAGTGCCAGATCGATCAGGTCCTTGGTGGACTCGTCATTTGCGATTCGCTTTCCATACACTTCTCCGATCTCAAGCGCGAGATGTCTGGTATACTCGTGGCCCCACGAGCTGATATCAGATGAAGGCGCTTGAAGTCTGTAAAACAGTGTGTCTTGTCGGTCTTCATCTGAAAACGTCATACCGATGACGGAGAGAACATCCGCCAACGAGGTCCTGTCTTCGCCCTCGGGCCACTGCTCGAAAAGTTTCGTCAAGGACTCGTAATGTGGTCGTAGGAATTTGAGGGGCTTTGGAACTGCTGTCATGGATGACGTCGACGTCTTTATCAGGTTCTTCATAGCTTCAAGGGCGGGCTTGTAGAGCTCCGTGTTTGGCTCCTGTATGTCGTTTAGACCACTGCACAAAGGGGTTGCTTGCGCATAAACTTACGGTCAAGCGCTCGACCAGTAATTCAAGCTCATTCTTCAGTTGTTGGTCCTCCTCGTTGAGCTCCTCCTCAGCAGCTGGGTCCCTAATCAGTACATCATTTCATGCAAACGGCAGGGCCTCATACTCTCAATCTTCTCGTCCTCTTTCTTTCCATTTGCCTGCTGCTTGTCTTTCTTCGCATCGTCGACGGCCTTGCCCTTGCCCTTGTCGGCCGCCTTGGGCACCTCGCTGTCTTGAGCCATGTTGATGTCGTAGGCCTAGGCGCCTGGTAGAGTCCACTGAACAGATTGGCAGGGAAAAAAGACAGAAAAGTAAACTACTATGCGAGCCTGAGCTGTGTCCTCAGTGATCGCGGCGTGTCAGGGTTGAGTGTTGTGGTATCGTGGTCGTGGGTTGCTGTGGATGGAAAGTGATGGAGGCTGCTTGGCTAAGCTCAAGGTGCTTTGCTGTAGGTAGCGGTAGCTCTGCTGGGTTACGCGAAGCGCTGCCGCCTGGCTGGCCCCAGCCTCATCACGTGCAAGCCGGCACAATAAGACCCACATTGCCAAGAACGCAGACTTTTGATAACGAGCGATAAGATCTTCAAGAAAAAATAACCCCACCATACAACATCAACCCCTCCAACACCAACAACAAAAAACATCAGTTTTCAACAAATCCTTGAGATAGAGGTTCAAGCATTTCTCCTGGGACTCTCTAGAACAGCGGCCCATCATGAAGTTAGATACACGGGCAATGCGCCACCTCGCCTCTGAGGATTGGCGAGTTTTGACAGCAGTATGCATACGCCCTGGCCATCATGATTAGACACAAGACTTAAACCAATTATAGGTCGAAATGGGAAGCAAGAACCACGAACTTGTACCAACATCATTGATCGAAAAGATTTCACGCCTTCGTGGTGGTGCCGGAAGCGTTCATAAGAGTATCTCAGCCCTCGCTAAAGTCGGTCTCATTGCGCGTGTGAAGGAGGCAAAATATGATGGATATCGACTCACGTATGGTGGACTCGATTACCTTGCACTTCACACCTATGCCAAGAAAAAGGATGTCTATAGTGTAGGAGACAGAATTGGTGTGGGTAAAGAGAGTGATATTATGGTTGTGGCAGATCATAGCGGCACCCAACGAGTCCTCAAAATCCATCGACTGGGCCGAATTTCTTTCCGAACCGTCAAATCGAATCGAGACTACCTTAAGAATCGACAATCTGGATCATGGATGTATCTTTCACGGCTCGCTGCCATGAAAGAATTTGCTTTCATGAAGGCTCTACGTGAAGAAGGCTTCCCCGTCCCCGAGCCCATCGCACAATCACGGCACACAATTGTCATGTCGTTAATAGACGCTTTCCCTCTCCGACAGATAGCGGAGGTTCCTGATCCGGCATCTTTGTATGCTGATCTCATTGCTTTGATCCTCCGACTCGCCAAACAAGGACTGATTCATGGTGATTTCAATGAATTCAACATCTTGATCAAGGAGAACGTTACCAAATCTGAGGATGGAGAGGAGGCCCTTACACTCGAGCCTGTCATCATCGACTTCCCCCAAATGATTTCCATGGAACATCAAAATGCCGAGATGTACTTTGATCGAGACGTGAACTGCATCAAGCGCTTCTTTGAGCGCAGATTTCACTTTGTTCCAACAGAACCCGGCCCCTTTTTCAGGCATGCGAAAAAGACAGTGGGGAAGGATGGCGTGAAACGACTCGACGCTACAGTAGAGGCTTCTGGCTTTACAAAAAGGATGTTGAAAGATCTTGAGGCTGCTATCAAGGAGAAGGGGGATCAAGCGGCTCAACATAGTGGGGATGAAGACGATGAAGATGAAGATGACGACAATGACGAAGACGAAGAAAGTGAAAACAGTGATGCAGATAACACAGATCACCCTCATGATGGCCAGGTATCAGGCGGTCTGCTTGGTGACGATGCTATGGCTTCAAAGGAGGATATGGTAGAGGATAGTATGTCAAAACTGACAGTATGAATGAAATACAATGATACCCATATCTTAGAAGGCTTACTAAGGTCATGCCAAGCATATCTTCGTTCACAACAAATCTGCGACTCAAAATAACTGAAGGAATTCTATGACATTAAGAAAATTCTCTCTAAACGCCCTCCTCTGACTTTTATGGCACGAATGCCCCCGAATCTAAACTACAAAAGCTCATGACATCATATCATGGCATGAATTCCTCGAGTGTAACAGCTACCCCAGACCATAAGATGTTCCGCGATGGCTACACTGTCGATGCTTGAGCCAAACACTCCAAGAAGACGGGGGAAAACTAGAGACAAATGATAAATGAAAGCGCGGGTTCCGGCGTCACCAGCCAGATAGAATCCATTTCAACTGTTGGCAGTTCGAGACCTTAGACCTCCTTCTGGATCTCCCTCTTTACGTCCTTCTTGATGTCCTTCTTGATTGAAGGGGACGCATCGAAGGATGAGCCAGCCACCATTGCATCTACGTGAACGGTGGCGTTCTCGTCGCATTCGGATGAGGCGGGTGTGGCAATCACTTCATCGGTGCTCCCGATAGCAGCTGTCCTATACCAAGGGTTAGAAGAAAGTCACAGAACCTCAGGACAACCCTGTCTCATACCCAATGGATTGACGCTGAGAAGCCAGGCGTCGAGTCTCATTGTTGGTATCGGACACAAAGGGAGCCGGGGGCATGGGACCGGGAAAATGTCAACTCATGTGAGAAAACAATGTGCATTAGAACTTACGGCCGGGTGATAGGGATGGCTACTCGTCGGTTCTGGGCGTGGTGAGGGTACATGGAGCCACCATAGCCGACGAGGGGAGTGCCGTAGGCTCCGATGTTGTACTCGTTCGTTCGGAACTGGCGACGCTCAGCGGTGACTCGCTTCAACTCCTTCTGAGCTGGAGTGTCAGCGTAGCGAATGTTCATGAGAAGTCCTTCATCGCCAACACTCGAACCATGGAACCTCTCGATAACATCATCGCAAATGTCTCGGTTCTCAAAGCTGTACTTCTGTTAGCCACATACACTCATCCTTGGCCCTCCGCACCTACCGAGCGAAACCGACACCACGGCTGTTCCCCATACTATCACGAAGGATCTTGCTGGACAAGATGGTATAATCCCTGAAAATGGCGCCAAGTTCCTAGTAGCAGTCAGAGGCTTTAGAAAATATTGAGCCATTGTTTCCAAAACGTACCACCTCTGTCAGAGACTTAGGAAGATTCGAGATGTACAGGTTGGTAGAGTCGTCGTCGCCCTCAGCCTTGAGACGAGAGTTGAAAGACTCCTGAACAAATGTCAGTTTACCCTTCTCAACACTCATCCATGGGTTGGGGGAACATGCCCTAGCAAAGCCGACTTCGTATCCAAGACGATGGAATCCGCGAATGCACATCTCAGAGTGAGCAACGTCAAAGAACTTTGCGAAGCCAAATCTTGTCTTTGTTAGTCATTGTTTGTTCAAAGGTTTGCGCAACGAAACTTACCCTTTGCACGCACCGGTGGCAGTATCAATGATAGCTTTGGAAGTCTCGACTTCACCAAAACGGGAAGTGAATTGATAGAGGGTTTGATCATCGGTGGTCGGGTAAAGGCCACGGATATAGACATTGCGGTTGCCGGGGATTCGATTTTCGAGGCTTTGTTCAAGGCTCTTCATCTGACCTGCAGGAGTGAAAACTGCAGGAACTGCCGTAGGGATGGCAGGTTCCTTTGCCAAAATCTCATCCAGGACGTGATCAGACACTGGAGAAGGCTTTGTCTTAGTCGTAGCTTCGACGTGGTGAGAGCCGAGGAGTTGATGGGGAGAAGGAGTTGTGTACGCTGATCGATCGCTGTGAACTCGTGGACCATGCTCACGATTTGGCCAGCTCCCGTAGAAGGGGGTAGCAGGTGCGGACTCTGTGGTCGAGTAGGAGCCGCGGCGGTTCTCCAAGCCAGGAACTTCGGACTGAGTTCGATCACCGCGAGGATGTCCAGCATTGGCGCGAGCAGGAGTGAAGGGGACGAGCGGACCGGATAGAGCATATGGGTTGGCATAGGCTCCATTTATCTGGTAACCAGGATAGGTCGATTCATTTGGGTGGTTAATGGCAACCGACTGGGAACCTGGCATGGAGGCAAGAATGAGTCCATCGGGAGAAACCATGTAGGGTGGTGGCATAGGAACGGGAGCACCCTGGGGAGCAGGCAAAGTCATGCCCGTAAGGCTCAACCCCTGAAAGTGGCCCAACAAAGCATTGTGATCGGTAGAGGCAGGTATAGCGAGATGCTGAGGTCGCCTATCAGGCTGGTTGGAGAGGAAAGGTGCCACACCAGTGGTCGGTTCCATGGTCGCCATTGAATGAGAATGTATGACTGAGATATCTATGCAGGTGTCAGACGATTTGTCATTTGGTGATGATGAAGGCCCGGACTTGGTTGGGCTCGAAGATGAAAAGGAATAATGCTGCACCAGATTGAACATCCAGAGGAGGAACTGGAAACATCTCACCTCACAAGCAACAGATCGGCTGCAAAAAGCAGTGCAAGATGCGAATAATCGGTGGATGTGTGAAAATCTGGCTGTATCCAAGTTGTCAGTTGAGAAATGCATGTGTGGGTGACGACAAGAGGGCATGGTAAACGAGTAGAAAAGATGCTCCCAAGGATTCTAACAGAGAATCCAACGCTGAGTATATGGGACGAACAATATTCTGACAACCTTGTATTGCATTGGCGAGAGAAACGAGTGAATATGTGAAAACAGAGTGACTAGGGCAAAGATCTGGAGCAAACATACCTCAAGGGCTTGAATGATGATCAAGCAGTTGATGGACAAAGCAGGCTGAAAGAAGCCGATGATGACGAACTCTGGGGTACCAAGACTGAGATGAAGCGAGAGTAAGTAAATTAGCCACGATAGCGTGCAAGATGGAGTACAGAAGAGATTGGAGGTATGAGGAGCGTTGAATGAGGTCTGTGAAAGAAGATGAAGAAGACAAAGAGAGGAAGAGAGGAGAGGAGGGAAGATGTAGAGGAAGATGGAGGAAGAGGAAGGATGAAGCAAGCACCTACCTAATAGTGCACAAAAATGATGATGTCGGAAAGAGGTATACTGATGAAAGAGGAAGGACCTTCTGCAGTTGAGAAAAAGGCAAGAATGATGCTATCAGTAAGACCTATTTCCACGCAAAAAATGTTGCCAAAACACTGCTGATGTTGAGTGAGAAGGTCGAATGAGTATGTAAGATGGTAAGGTCGGATGAAAGATGATTTGGATGAATCTTGAACAATGGGGAGGAATAATAAGAAGGAGAGGAAGAAAAGAAATTCAATGCGGACCCTCTGACAACCTCAGGACTTCTGGCAGTGTCAATCTTAGGAAGGTGAATTATTTGTTGTAGCTGGCAAGAGCTGCGAAATGAGGTCCTGTCTGCCACTTTCAGACAATGATATTGCAAGGAAGCACTTCCCAAGTTTGTAGAACGAGCTTGTCAATATTAGGCCTCGGTAGGCAATGAAAAGGGTTATTATAGGTAAAGATCAGAACGATTATGTATGTATGGTCTAGAATAATCTGCATTGATAGTCACGTTGCCTGTCTATTGTTCTGCTGTCAAATGCGTGCCAGAGCGATGGGTACTTAGGTAGTGGTGAAATTCGTGCGAGGACCGAGGCTTTCCAGATATCAGCATGAACAGCACGGAGAGCATCAGGTCGGTGATTAAGGAAACGCATTGTCGAAACCCATGAAGCCAAGGAGCAGGAAAGACCCGAATTAGAGCCAGTGAAACGCAAGTGAATAGGAAGAGACTATTGTGGTGACTGATGAAAGCAGTTTGAATCAAAGCAACATACCTGCGTGGATTCCTCAAGTCGGCTTTTAGTGTAGTTAATGTAAGTGTTTCGTAGATGTGTACCAGGTCATAAACACGCAGAAGCAATGAGACTTGTTACGGAAAGTCAATATGTCCATGTCAGTACCTAGATAGCTGAAATGCTCTGGATCTGAAGCCTTTTCTTGTATATGCTGAGAGATGCCTTGGGCCCCAGCTGAAGTACGAAGACACCTGTATTGTAGAGTGTACAAGATGTCTCTTTATAAGAGTGTGTTCTGTATACCTCTAGGCAGGTGTTTTGCGGCATGGCTCCAGGGCGACAAACAGGTCTCCTACACGAGCCAAATCAACCATTTCCTGGCCGCTCGTTCGAGCTCACATATCGGCCTCTGTTGTGGTCATTTTCCCAATGTCTCGTGCTCTGATTCGCAGAAGAGGATGCAAGATCTTATCAGACCAGGCGTGCATGTTCGCCATCCTATTCCATGAACACCTAGGTATGCATGTCACTGCAAGCTGCATGTTTGTGATGCTTTCTAATCCTTGTTCGTATTTGAGTATCAGCTTTCTAGCTCTTGATTTGTCTAGTATGTGTGGCCTGTGAGATCACATATTGCTTCTCATGTGCTCTTTTGTATTCGTCCAGTTTGCACCTCCAACAACCGCTCAGCTTGTCTTGTATTGGCTGTGCATGCGTTTGATGAATTTCTTTTTAGTCAAGTTTCAGCTGGGCCACACTTCGAATCAATACCTGGGACGGCTACTGGCCGTAAAGTGAATATCTCGACCATTTCTCTTTCTTTATGTTGCCATCCTACGTATCCAGGTTCTGCAGCCCCTGGAATAACAAAGACTTATAAAATTCTACAGGAGATTTTGCAAATCAGTGAGCCAAAGAGCTTGGTTTTCTAAATATATATATACCAAAATAAATAAATGAGCTTATATTCATGGAGGATTTGAAAGAAATTCAATACCTGGTCTTTCCTATCTCGATCGTCTGCTGGAGTTATCTTGAGTGAAGTTCTGGCTACAACTTTGTCATATGTTGTCGTGGTCGGAATGAAGTACGTTCAAGTATATGAGTACAATTATCAGCATCCCTGCAGTGTTTCGTGACAACCTTGTGACCAACAGGAGTCAATATGTACTTGAATTCTCTCGGCTTCCTGCTCGAGCCGTTCATCTTGTAAAGTCCACCTCATTCAATAGCTCAAATGCACAGGTTTGGCCCTCGTGGCATCGTTTTATGACATCCTCCAAAGCCATAACATAGACTAGTTTCCAAGTCGCGGGTTGTTGGATTTTATATCGAATGAGAATCAACTATATAGTAACTAGCGTTCATGCATACTGACGGAAAGAGATAAAGTTTTACGATTGCAATATGCAAGGGAGAGAAAATCCCCAAGCCTGTCAGCGTGAGTGGTGTCAGCGACCTAATCCACACCGTGGTGCAGGGTAGGCTTACTCCCTGTATGATGGTTTGCACATACCCTATCAACACGCCCTCAAATACCAGCAAGGGTTGGCCCATCCATGACTGCACATACAAAGGATGAATTAGAGCGTTTGTCTTCATTCATCATCATATACTCGATAGTAGCATTAGCCAAATGTCCACTCTAGTCCAACTTTTCAGACATGAGTGTTAATTCTTCACATCTTATACCTAGTTCGTTTTACTAAGGTAGCATGAGGTAATGATTTACAAACTTGCTTCTATCGGCAAGTCCGTGTCTAAGTGGCAGAAAGGCTGTTACGACGCAGATAACCAACGCTCTCTTGGACAGGTTACAAACGATGACAACAATGTAGATGCCGCAAACCATATACCGCAATGTACCAAGCCATCCTAACACCATCCCTCTAATTTGCTGCAAGAAAACCCTCGAGTCTACTTCGTATGCTCGTCAAATATCACCACCACGAACATAGTGGTAGTAGAGCAGAACACCAACCATGAAACCTGAAGAGTCATCGCCGCCGATGACTTTAAATTTAGTATGCCATTCGCCCCATTTTCTATGACCAAACATCCTCCTGTAATTCTGAGTTAGCATATGCGGTTTCGGTGCAGTAGAGAGGGAGTAACAAAGTCACTACATACCTGGTATTGGTTCGCTGACCTCATGTTCTTCACGATCTCCTCGCCCTTGGCCTCAGACACCCCACGTCCCTCGGCAATGATTTGTGCCAAGACGGTATTGACCTCACGGGCCATGTGGGCTGCATCACCGCAGACATAGAAATAAGCCTTCTGGGAGAGCAGGTCGCTGACCTCCTTGGATCGCTCCTTAAGTCGGTGCTGGACGTACACCTTCTTGGAGCCCTCTCGAGAAAAGGCGGTGATCATCTCAAACTTATCGCCAAGAGCCTCCTTATATTCCTGAGAAACAGTTAGTATAAGCCTCGAACGATTGAGTTCTATGTTGTCTTACCTGCCACTCCTTTTGGTACATGAAATCCTCTGTTGACTTTCGGCAACCAAAGAACAAGAGTGTCTTTCCAACCTCAACACCGTCACGGGCTTGCTTAGCACGCTCCTGAACGAAACCGCGGAAGGGAGCGACACCAGTACCAGGACCAATCATGATGATAGGCTTGCCGGGGTCCGAGGGGAGCTTGAAGTTGGAGTGACGAACATGGACAGGAACGTGGATGCCATCATACTTGTTGCGGGGGCCTGTAAGCTCGTAGCTCTGACCGAAAGGTGCAGGGTTGGGGTCGCCGTTCTGCTTTTGCTTTAGGGCAAAAAGATAGTTTGTAGCAACACCACGGAAAGGATCATCTCTGCCGGGAATCTGCTGGGACTCAACGACGGCAGTGATGGAGATCTTCTTAGGCTGAACCAGAGACGAGGAGGAAATAGAGTAGTAACGGGGCTGAAGCTTGGTGAGACCCTCAATGAAGGCAGAGAAGGGGATTTTGGTCCACTTCTCGCCCTTGCTGACGCTGGCGAGGAAACGGGCAATGTTGTAGTAATGAGGGCCAGTCTTCTCGTGGAAATAATCCTTATCGCTGCCAAGGCGGTTCATCTCAGCCTTGATATCATCGTTGGGAGCGAAAGCGGCGAGAGTGGAGACGAATTGACGGGACACAGGAGCGCAGATCTCGAGGTGGTATCGCAGAATGGCATCGTAGGTTGTAGGGTTGGGGAAAGGAACCTTGGCGGTAGGCTCGAGAGCCTTGACAGTGACAACGCTGTGCTGCTTGCCGGAGAGGTCGAGAATATCCAGGAATTTGTTGACCTCTTCGCCAGGGTTGGTAGGCCAGATAGCAATATGGTCTCCAGTCTCGTACTTGAGGTTAGAGCCGCTGATGTCAATTTCCATGTGGAGGCAGTTTCTGTCCTTGGCAGAGAACAACTCGTAAGATTCAGCGATAGGGGCAATGTAGGGGTTGTGAGAGTTGAATGGTCCCTTGGCGGTGCCTTCGAGGTGCAGCTTGTTGGGCTCACCGAGATACACTTCATTGGCTTCAGGAGTCAGGTCGTCGCGTTCGTTAATGGCAAAGATAGGCTCGTAGACGGCCTCACGCTCTTCCAGTCCCATTTTCTTAGCAAGGGCTTCCCACATGGGATCCTTCCAGGCCAAGAAATCCTCTTCCATGGTACCAGCACCATCATCACCCTCACCAGCTTCACCGATGCGGTGAGCGCCAAGCTTCTCAAGAGCCTTGTTAACATTGCGGACCATAGAGTTGTAGTGCTCGTACGTGTTGTTTCCGAGACCGAAAGCAACGTAGTTGAGGTTGCCCAAAGGAGGATCATTGCCCTCATTGAAGCTGGCATCCTCACCGGTAATGAATTCATAGAAGTCGACCGCGTTATCGGTAGGCTCGCCTTCGCCGTAAGTTGCGAGAACGAACATGACGATGTTGTCACTAGGGACGGTATCCAGGTTATCGAAATCGTAGTCCTCAAGATCGGCAATCATGGTGTTGAGTCCGAATCGACTCTTACCCTCCTTGGCGAGGCGAGAAGCATAATCTTCAGCAGTACCGGTCTGAGAACCATAGAAGACAACACAGTTCTTGCCGGATTCTTCCATCGCCTCAACGATGTTCCTCGTGCGACCCGGCTTAGAAGCGCCGCCGGCAGCGAAGCCATTCGCATAGGGGTCCTTGGTAACACCCCATAGCTTGCCCTTTGTAAAGTATGCGACCGTTCCGAGGAAGATAACGCCGAGGACGACAATGTCTAGAGTGTCGAGTTCAGCCATGATGGCTACGAAAGCGCTGGGGCGGATTCGTGGTCAAGAGGTAGAGAGCCAGCAAACCCAACGATGCCAGTGACAAAATCAGGATCTGCCAAGTTTCAACGAGATGTCGAGGTTTTTGTCCCAATACTCGTCGGCCGGAAAGGAGGCGGGGGAGGAGGAGGAAAGTGGGATGTGGCGTGAAGTGTCTAAAAAGAAAGGATGCGCTGTCAGTAACAAATTCGCGCTAAAAGTAGGAGATTAATGGATGACCCGAGGATCCTTTATCGTGCGAGGTGAGATTGCTGGACCGCACTTACACTTTGAAGGATCAGCACTAATCATGAACTTTGGCCACGTAAACCCATCGACTCAGCAGCCAAAACCCAACTCTTGTTAACTCGTAGCTATTATGGGAATACCTACCCGTAGCAGGGTGAAACGAAACCTCCTCAAAAGGGTCAAGGTGTGTGCTACTCAGAACAGCTACGGAATGCCACAGTAGTAAAGACTTTATCTTGCTCGGTTGTTGGCTCGGATTGAACCGTTAAAGCCGGGGTTCTTCTTGTTGTTGGGGCTCAATTGCGGGATTGCAGGGGTTCAAGCCAGAGGTCGCTTTGGAGATGGTAAAAGTGTCCAATTCACTTTCGGGTTTGTGTTTCTTTGTCGTGAAAAGAAAGAGGGTAGTGGACTGGATTACTTAGACCGCACAGACGTCTCAAAAGCCAGAAGGGAACAGAATAATGAAGCAAACAGGAAACTCGGAACTTGATATGTGTTTTCCACTCCCTTTCCATGGAGCGACCTCGCAGCCGGCGCCCGGAAGATCAAACGGTAAGTAACGGCGGTCGAATCAGGAGATATTGCGGCCGGCGCCGGCGGGGTTCCGAAAACGAACACGCTCAATAGGTATGAAGCCGCCATTTGCACGGAATCTAGCACTTCCCGTAATCGACTCCCGGTCGACCCAACTGGCCTCGGCATATCGAGCAATAGCATTCTTCATTCTCTTGCCTCCATCCCCGCGTTTTTGTCCCGCGTGTCCATCTCTTATCGACTATCTTCGTTAGTTCTGCTCCTCATATTTATGTAGCCGGAATATTTACCCCAAGATCTTCGAATCACCTTGCAACATTGGGTTTTAGTTCCGCCCTGAATTCTTTTGCGGAAACTATCCCGATGTTTCGATCCGCGGCTCCTTTGAAGTGCCGAGTGTACATGCCTCGACCCCTCAAATTTTAGAAAACTTGTGCAGTCCAGAGACAAACTGCTGAACACAACATCCAGTGTGGCTGCTATCGGCAGGCTACTATGTAGGTACTTGAATCAGAACAATAGAAAGCATGGGCCTTCTTTATAAGTTCTCCTATGTGGCACTTACCTCTGTTTCTTTGACATTACTGCCAAGTCAGCCTAGGGTATCATTACCAATTTGTTTGCTCAAAGTCAATCACCCATTGGAATGCGGGATATCGACAACTATGACACAAGAATGTCTCACATGAACACCTGCGAATTCTCTATGCAGGTACTGTATAAACAAACGCTTGTGGTTTGGCCAGGTCTACCAAGCAGGTCGCATTGCTTAACATATGCTTCTGGTCACCATTATGATAAAATGTTATGTGCTCTAATTAGTCTCAGCTACTCTCGAGTGGTGCTTCAATGTATCTAGTCTTTGACACTTCGTGCTCTGCTAGCGAGCTGCCAGGATGAAGCGGAGATATCACAGATATTATAGAGGTCCCTGACTCATGGAAGCCTCGCTTATACCATCCCTTCGCATAATGAAGTTGTGCGGGATGCTTATAGCGAGATACTGAATGACATGGAGATGCCCAGGTCCATTATGCTAACTCAAGGATTATCTTTTAAGCAATTCCGTACTGGTACAATGATCAGCGGAGGAAACAAGTGCTACGCTGATGAGCATCTGGGTCCGTTGATCCTTGCAAACAAGTGCAGGCGTGCTCTCGTTTATGTTCTGATAATCCACCAGCTTTGGCATTTGGGAGTATCCAGATTTCAACCCTCACCGAGTCATTCTCGTGAATTGATGTCTCTCAGATAAGATCTCGAAGCTTGAGCCATGAGGATCACCGAAGCCCCCTTTCCAAGAAGCCAATTGACAGGCAAGAAGTGGCGCGCTGTCTTCCAAGGGCCCGTCATCCCCATGTCGGTTGATCTTAGTTCAGTTGATAGGCCATGGCCCTTGCAGATAGCAAGGATATGGCCAAAAGAACACTGCGAATTGACTGCCATGTGTGCCATGTGTTAGAGCTCCCTGGGTTCGTTTGGCTCCATAACAGCCTCTTTAAAGGCTTGTCGGACAAGCCTTTCAGCGGGCCGGGCCAATACATGGGCAAGCTGACGGTAGCGTCATTGCGCGTGGTCCAGCCGTCAAAGTCAGTCGGTCTCTTGGGTCTTTGTCTTTGTTGTCAAAAGACTCCCTCGTGTGCTGCACATGCATAGTTGCATCCCTTTAGGCCCGTAAATACCCTTCGCCTTTCTCGTTTTCTCCTTCTTTTGTTTTTGCTCAGTTGCGATACTGACATTGAGATTGAAGAATCACCGTAGATCATGGGATTGCGATATAGAGCTTGAGGATGGGTAAGTCCAAATCCCTAGAAGGGGTGTCCACACTCCAATACTTTCAGTACCTGACACCAACACCAACCCCTCTCTTCCCGCACCACCTCTAAAATCTGGGCTGTATCGCGGGAATACCTTCGTCACCAGTTACCCCAAGATAACCCAGACAATTCAGCCTGGGCTTCTGTATTTATAACTGCAATCTAAGCAGAGTTGGCGGTGCTTGCATGCAGACCCTGCTCTAGGCGTCTCCGCTGCCGTTTCACCAACATCTTCAAACATTCAGCAAAGATATATCTTTTGTTGACTAACCCCCTTGTGTGACCCATAGTGCCGTCGCAGCCGCAGCCGCAGCCGGACCACCTGCAGGATACGCTCAGGTTCTCTCCCCGGCCTGTTCCTAGACTCGAAGAGGAGGAAGAAGAAGATGATGAGAAGAAGTGGGATAGAACATTACGCCCAGTAGCTTCAGAATCGCCGGTCGCCCATCGATTTGCGCATTCACGAGAATCGTCCGCCGAAAAGATCCCCCAGACGCACCCGCCCTTGGCCTCCCCACGACTTCATTCGAGGAGCCCTCTTGGCGGCGTCGTAGAGCGCATTATCGACCCGAAGAGCGCCGCATACGGCCATCATCGTCAAACTTCGATTGTCCACGGCATTCAACACTCGAGAAATGGCAGCTTGGCCAGCACCAGCTCCAGTCCCCTCAGCCCGCAGATGATAGCAGCCGCTGGCGTCGGCTTTGATCGTTCAGACATGCAATCGGTGGCCACCCGTATCGATGGCGACGCCAGTTATCCTTCTCGGCCACCTACATCTCTCTCCGGAAATGTTGCACCTATGGACCGTCCTAATGCTTCTGATGCTCCACATGGCATGACCCAACGAAAGCTCGAACGAATGCACAGTAAATCTCGGCGCGATCATACCCCCCATCACTCTCACTCTTCTCGTCATAAGGATGAGCAAAAGACGGTTGGCGAATATGCGCTTCATGTCTTGTTCACCTCAGTCAGTCCAAGCTTTAGTGTGTAAATGCATACCACAACTAACTTGAAATAGTTTATTGCACAGGCGGAGGAGAAGTTGACAGAATGCGTCACGGTTCCTTTTGATCCCGAACCCAATGTTGAACAAATATGCGGACCAGGTGTCGACCCAGCGTTCGATCAGTTGATTGTTGCTCTGGGTCATATCGCTAGCCCTAAACCGAAAGCCTTGATAGACTCGATGATGCTCTGGAGGAAAAGTAAAAGTGATGCTGCCAACGAAGCTCGCAGTCATCTTCAGCAATCTCGGAATGCTGCGGCGGGGGCACCTCTTGTTCGAAGAAATACAGAACCAGTACAAGCTGCGATGTCCGGCCAAGGAGGTCCTGATTCCGTTTTTCCAAATGGTCCACCAACACTCGCAGCAAGGCAAGAGTTTGTAGCACAAGCTGAACGTCGATCGACCGTATCTATATACATCCTTTGTCGCGTTCTCCTCGAAGTCATCAGCCAGAGTAACTTACCGTCTATCACCGCTGAAATGGAAGATAAGCTGGAAAGTATTATATTCGGACAGCTCAAGATCGCCGATACTGAGCAGTTGATGGTGTCACCTCTGAAACTTGCCAATTGGAACCTTTTTGCTCAATTGCTGGGACACATGAGTGGCATTAACTTTGGTGGAGTTACCAGGAGGTTCATTGAAGACTTGGACAGTTCTCTCCAAGAACGCGTGGTCAAAAGCCCAACCTCCTCTTCTGGTCGAGATGCAGAGGGAAAGGTAGAACTTGTTTTGGGGGGCATGAAGCACCTAAAGCTCAAGATCTCCCCCGAAGAGTCATGGGAGCAATCCTGCGATTTTCTCATCTCACTTGGCCGTCTGTTCCAGAAATCCCACGGTCAAAAAGTCAAGACAGCCTTCTGCCAAGTGATAGAGATGCTTCTTCTTCCAATCGCCGCAAAGGCAAGCAACAGCCATTTCATGCATCCAAAATGGGCGGAAGTACTTGCTGCTGTCGGACCTCGCCTTGCCCAAATGTTTATGAAACCGAGGCATTGGAACTTCGCATTCCCTCTTACTGCGACTTTGCTTTGTGTATCCTCTCCAGACAATTTTGGATCACAATGGCTGCAGTTGATATTGCCTTTACAAACTAAAGTCAAGGATCGAATGACTAAACCCCTTTGTCTTCAGGTCATCTCTCGCTTGTTATGGACATTCCTGTATCGAACTAATGAAACCTTCCAAAATAGCCTCCGCAAAATTGACGAGGTCATGAAACTTGTTTTGCCATCATCCAAGCGAAGTTTAGTTGCATCGGATACTCCGTGCACTGAACCTCTGATCCAGATCATTCGCATCGTTGGCTTCAAGTATCCTGAATACTGCTTTAGGAATGTTGTGTTTCCTCTTATCAATGCTGAACTTTTTACTTCCAACAAAGAGTTGAAAGTTGAGCAACTGGATCCTGACCGGGTTGTTGTTGGCATCAGGGCTTTCCTATACATAATGTCGGATTTGGAGAAGGGTGAACAAGGACGACCTCCGTTCCCACAATTCTTTGAAAACCCAAACTCGAGTTCGACTCCCGATCGATTTCCTGTCTCCCCTGCTATGTCTTCGGCGCGCAACTCTCCGCTATCACAACCAGATGCGGCTTCGAAGGAGGAGTACATCAGTCGCCCGGTCTTAACACACGTCTTGAGTGACGGAGTCCGAGACTTCTATCTCAAATTCTGTGAAATTCTTGGGAAAATCACGATCATTTGTGATAATACCTTTGGTGGACAAGCGGCCTTGGATGAGAAGTTCAATAGCCCTTTGCCAAAAACCCCTATAACCGAAACCTTTACCTTCTCTCGCAAAGACGACCATCAGAGTGCCGCGGATCAAAAACAAGCGTTTTATGAACTCTTACATGTTGCTGTTCAGGCGTTACCCCGTTGTCTTTCTGTTGACATACCTTTCAACTCTCTGATCAATTTGCTGTGTACTGGAACAGCCCACGTGCAGTATAATATTGCGGAGTCATCTGCCAATTCTTTGAAAGCCATTGCCAGACAATCACATGCTCAACAAGTCACTATGGGATTCGCTCGTTTCATCTTCAACTTCGATGATCGATACTCGACAATGTCTGATGGCGGAATGCTTGGCCACAGTCATATCGAGAACACCCTACGCTTATACGTTGAACTGCTACAGATATGGATCGAGGAAATCAGACAAAAGACCCGTGATGCTGCCACAGACCAACCTGAAGCTAATGCCTCTGATAAAAGAGCAATCAAGCTTGATTTATCTAGTATCTGGGCGGAGGTTGACCAGGCCGAGGCCCATGGTTTGTTTTTCCTCTGTTCGCAATCACGACGAGTCCGTCACTTTGCAGTGACAGTTCTTCGTCTGATTGTTGAATTTGACAAGGCCCTGGGGAAAGAAGCTTCTGAGGATAAGGATTCCATGAGACTGATTGATATTCTTGAAAACGAGTCTAGTAAGGTCATGGATTTTAACGATGAGCAGCTATCTGTTGCCGAACGAAGCCGATTGCAACGGGGTCTACAAAACGCCAACAACCAAGGTGCTCTTGTAGAGCTTTGTGCCAGTGACGTCTCTTATGATACGACTTTGTGGTTTAAAATCTTCCCTAAGCTCATTCGAATGGCCTACGAGAAATGCCCATTTACAGTCACTATCTGCCGCGATCTCATTTGCAACCGTATTTTGCAGATGTACAAGCCAATCGTGTACCTCTCTGAGCCTTCAAGGGGCTTGTACTACAACAATGAGCCAGGAAGTGCCAGGCTAGGGGCCCGATCTGCGACAACCCATCCTGAGGTGATGGTGGAGCAATGGAAGCTGTATCTGATCTTTGCTTGCACAACACTGGCAGACCCAGGGGCTTTGCCAACGGCTCAGGATCCTCAGCACGTTCGGAAGGCATCCAAAGCGTCGTCCAAAGATAAGATTGTGACGGCTCGGATGTTGTTCAAGTACCTCATTCCCATGCTGTCTGTCTCCTCCGCATCTGTTCGGGACGCTGTTGTTGTTGCTATGGGGTCCATCAACATTCATATTTATCGGACTCTTCTTGAGGAACTACAAGGCCAAGTCTCTCGATGCAACGATGAGGCACGGGCTCGGATACATCAGAGGACAAACAGCAATCCTAGGAGGAACCGGAAGATGGATCTTCTCAGAACGGAGATCACCCATGTTTTCAAGTTGACTTCGCATTTCCTTAGAGAACCCGAAGTTTACAACGGCGAGTTTTTCTTAACTACTCTTACCACATATACAAAGGACCTGAAGCTATTCCTGATGGACGGAGAAGTCCAGATGGATTGGGAATTCCAGAAGCTCCGACGCCATTACTGTGGACTCATGGAAGCACTATTTGAAGGAATTAACAGAACCAAAGATCCGTCCCGATGGATGACTTTTGAATCCCGAAAATCGGCGTTCTCGCTGATGGAGGACTGGTGCGGATTCTCGCCGAATCAGAACCAGATCCGTGCTCGAGAGGACACCATGCGGCAATCGCTAATCGACCAACAGACCTTGGGCGAGCGAGGCACTGCTACCGCAGCGATGGAGATAGAGAAGAGAAACCTCCGGACTGCAGCCCTCAGTGCAATGGCTGCTTTGTGTGGCGGACCGATTAGCGTCACAACTGAGAGTAACGTGGTCC